ACTAACTTTAATAATTATTAACCTTTATATCAAAATTTAAATTGATGTTAAGAAGAAACAATTTTTAAATACCTACCGGTTACGAATATCGTTGCAGGTTTATCTTAAAAAAAAGGTGTAAATCTATTGTACTCAATTAAGTAAATATATTTTGAATACTACAATATACGACATGTTTTACTGTCGGCTAAATGTTTGGTTTAAAAACAAATAATACAATTTTTTTTTTTTTAATAAATAATATTTCAGTGGAGCCTACACTATGATTTCTGTATGTATAACACATATGTAGTAATCATTGCCAAACTTTTTGTATACAATATTATATGACGTGTTTTCGCCTTAAGGTCTGGTTAAAAAACAAATAATGCAAGGGTTTTTTTTTCTTAAGCAAATAATATTTTACCAATAGATGATTATATTTTACGTATTGCACATATTACTATACTTTTTTAGCAATCACAAGTAGCACTTGATTCGTAAAATAAATTACCGTAACGTTTCATTGTTAAAATTATAATTGTTTTATAACTGGAAGTGATAAAATCACTTTTAAACAAATGTTTCGATGCGAATCTGTGGATAGTATGTTCAAACCAGTTATAGTGGTTTAAAATATATCGCAGGACCAGCAATAATTTACTTAAAATTTAATATTTAGTCTTGTGCATGGCGGATACGATAAGGGTTGATCGTCTGTCTATAAAAATTTACTGTAATAGTTACCCATACATCGTAGTTAAAAATATAATGAAAATATTTTCATTACCCGTTCATTGTTGATTCACACACACACATAGCACCCTAGAAACTGACTACGGTCAAAGTGTAATTTTGCCCTTTTTTGGGTTTTTTTAATAAAAAAAAATTTGACTACAGATTTTTAAGAAAATTGTATACTTAAAGTTTCATTTTAGATCTACCTTCGATCTAATTTTCAAATTTAAATCTCTAAAACTTTGTTGAAATAGTAAAATAAAGAAAAAAATGTTATCCCTTCTAGGGGAAAGGGTTTATGATATTTTTTTGGTTTATTAATGTTTATCGATAGTACTATATTTGAAAAACAAATCATATAAATTTAGAACTTTTTCGACTATTTTTAAAATAGTTATAGAGCATCGTAATTTTAAGTTGAAAAATTTGTAAATTTGTTGGGTGTTTTTCTCGATTTTGATGGGGAAGGGGTGACTTTTTTAAATAGTTGGCCTCTATTGTACCTGTTAGGTATGATTTCTGATCTATACAGTTGCTACACGAAGAAATCGGTTCATCGGTTTACGAGATATCGTGGGTCCAGACACAAAAATAAAAAATAAAAACCCAATGTTGTTTTTTTGATTTAGTTGTACATTTATTTTATTGTACGGTTGCTTTGGATTATTTTAACTTCATTTTTTTTTTAGAAATCCCACCAGAATTCCTCGGTATGTTTACGTTTAGCAAATAATAAATAATAGTTTACATAATATTTGTATTAATTTAATAGTAATATATTATTTTTAAATGAACGTAACTTTTATGCTCATGCAATTTTTCTTATATAACTAATTTTGAACTAAAATTACTTTACGTTTATACGTTTACGTAGATAAGTAAGTAATGTTTTTTCATTTTTTAAAATAAAATATATGTAATTATAGGTTACTGTATCCATAATTTCATTAATTGAATATTATTTTCTAGAAATGACATCTTTTGGTATGTATTCGTTTGCGTAGATAAATAAATAATAATTTACGTTACTTTGTTTAATATTTAATTCATTGATTGTTATAAATGTATTATGTTCTAGTACGACGTGGTGACAAAAGTGGTACTTATACATTTGCATAGATAAATAATAAATAATTTAGGCGAATTTTGTATTTTTTTCGTTATATACGTATAATAATACGTTACTGTGTCAGATATTTAACTCATCAGATATTTTGACTAATATTTTAAATAATTTGCTAAACATTTTGACTGGTAATCTATGACGCACTATGTAAATAGTTAAAACGTTATTAGTATTTAAAAAACCATAATTTTTACATGTTTAAGACCAATACTTTCCTTTTTTGGACCCTAATACTTTATACGTTCTCGTAGACAAGTGTGTTATTATTTAGGTGAATTTTGTATTTTTTACATTATTATATAAGTTATATTATAATACAAGTATACGTTAATGTATCCAAAATGTAATTAATTAAATATAATTTTCTAGAAATGAAGTATGACGGTATGTATTCGTTTACGTATATATAAGTAAATAATAATATTTTACGTTACTTAGTCTGATAATTAGATAGATCAGCAACAATTTAGGTTAATTTTGAATTTTTACAATAAATAATTATACCTACGTTACTGTGTCCACAAACTAATTCATTGATTATTATTTTCTAGAAGTGGCGCAACGTGATCTTGCCGGTATGTATACTTTTACTTAGATTAGTAAAGAATAATATTTTACGTTACTTAGTCTGATAAATAGATAGATCAATAACAATTTAGGTTAATTTTGAATTTTTACAATATATATATAATTTTACGGAACTGTGTCTAATATTTAATTTATTGATTATTATTTTCTAGAAGCGGCACAACGTGATATTACCGGCATGTATAATATTTTAAGAAGATAAGTAAACAATATATTTTGCAAATTTTGCATTTTTGACAATTTATCATATTCTCGATACCTAAGTTTTTACAAGAACCATAAAAGTACCGAACTTTTGGAACGTGTGTTTTGTTAGTCGGTCTGGTTTTGTGCTAATACTACCAAACCGTTTTTGATGAAATAGACACTAAAATCATTCCAGATTTATTTTTAGCTGACTTAGTTCTTATGAACCTAAGATTTCTATTAATTAAAGTATAAATTACATTTTTTTTTATTAATGTTCAAATAATTTGATAAGGTAAGACCGAATGAAAACAAATTGTAAGCCCACATTCTTATTGCAAATTTTTTTTTTCGGAAATTGTAAAGGTAATAAAAATTATTCTGGTTTTTTAATTTATAATATTATAAATATCAATCCAATATATTATAAAATATAAAAGTCACAGTATATTTAAAGGTTAAAAATTTCCAATTGAATGCTAAGTTCTATATTTTGTTTTATGACCATCATCAGTTATTAAAAGAATAAATAATTTTAATTTCATATTGTAAGTACTGCGGGAGTAACTAAACTTATTTTACTTGCATTAAATTAAATAATTTATTATTAAAATATATTAAAAATTGTATACTATTAAAAGTTAAAAATGCTTAATCATTAGTATAATAACACTTCTTTATTGAACTACAAAAATGTCTCAATATTATCATTTAAGTTAGTGGGGGAATTCACATTATTTTAAATAATATTTTAATAATATTATTTAATTTTTTAATAATATTTTTTAGTGTCACAATAATTACATAAATGTCCATTTTCAGTACTCGATGATTTAGCAGGTAATAAAATGTATTTTAAATTATATTTTATTATTTTATAATAATGTTAAAAGTATCAAGCTAATATAACTAATATATAAAATATTTTATAAATGTGTTTTTTCAGCATGCTTTTCTACGTCTTGGAAGTTGAAACAAGTCCCTTAGATAGGAATCCACCTATCTTTTCAAGAAGAAAGAGATAGTTTATAAATATATCTATATCTATTTTACTGATTACTAAATATACCACTTTATTTTATTTTAAAATTATTTCTCCCGTTATTAATGTTTCTGCTATTGTTTGTTTGTTATTATATACCATAATCAAGTTAACATTTTACATTTTAATTTTAAGATTTTAAATCTTTAGACTTGTTGAATGCAAAAATCGTCTCGGCGGCTTAGGTTTACTCTCAGTAAAAATAAAACACATATTATTGTAAAAACAATAACTCCCAGCTTTTAAATTTTTATTATTTAGGTACAATGTTTTGGATTACTGAAATTACGCTATACGTAATTTAAAATAAAATCGTTGTCACAGTAAATAAATAAAATATAGCTAATATAATTTTTAAGTTATTTAAACAAATTTTAAAAACGTTTTCTAATAAATTAAGTGAATATACAGATACCAAATTGTGTTCATTGGCTATAGCACAATAAATGACTAAATTTCAAATGGAAGGAGTAGTTTTGGGTAATATATTTAATACTATTTTATGTTTCACAAAAACACTTATAGATTTTAATGCCAACCGTCAAATGTTTTTATTATAAACAAAACAAAAGCTATAATTATAGGTAATACGTACACAATATCAAACGATTTTAGTCATGGCAATTAGTATACTATTATTTTTATCTTATAGGTACATCGACAATTGTTATAAAAAACTAGGCACAGTTTGATAGCTGCGTTTTTGATTCAAAACATATGTTGTACTACATCGACTAATACAATTACTCTAGTGGAGAGCTTTAAAAAAAGTGTGTTGTGATAGGTGAATTTGTGTAAGCTAATTTTATAATATTTACAACGATTATACCAGAATTCATTGTAAAATTTAGGATTTTTTTTTTAAAAGTTTTTATTATTTATACTCTATAATAATCGTTGAATTTCTACACAAAGTATAATTGTACAAGCACTTTGACATAATAATGATACACGACGACCGGACTAGACAACCGTAAAACTAGTTTTGATATATAATAATATATTATTCTTTGCCGACGGAATAATAAAAACAAATACATAATATAAACTATTATTTACAAAGTAATTGGATAATAGAAAATAAAAAAAATAATCTAATAATAATTAACACTTGTGGCAGGTATATGCGATGGGACCTAACCTGCATATTAAACGAGGGGCTAGAGCATATAATAATAATAAAATTATTAATTAATTACATCGTAATAGGTACGCGAAGTCGAATAATAAAATCGTTTCGATTGTTTGATTTATTTGGGTTTTTCTTAGCTCCGAGGTCTTGCACATCGCGTCCCATAGAAATTGAGCAACAAATCTTGCCTACACGGGTGTGTATGGGCGTTTTAATTTTGGTTTTTTTTTTTTTTTTTTTGTAATGTGTTTCTAACCTAAGGCCACGATTTAAGATAATATGGTCGCCCATAAAGTGACCCCCGAAGTCAATCTTATACAAATTACAAACTCTCGAGTAGCGACTAGCGTTCCAAGCGGACGACATTTTCAACTTGCACAAATTGTGATTACAATCACTGTTTAAAAAATTATAAAAACGCATTACGATTGGTTGAAAAACAGATGTATTTTTTTTGGATCGACTTCGGGGCCGTGAGATGAGAATATTCTCGTAGACCTTTGGGCAACCATATCATCATTATCTTATATCGTGCCCAAAGCACAGGAAAACAGTCGTCTTAGACTAGCTGACAGTGACGTTCGAGGCGTTCATGCGTTTTCTCCTTTTCACGTCCACCCCTTTCCAGTAGTTGACGATCATGTCGGATCCTTTCTCGCCAATCATGATCACCGGGGCGTTGATGTTACCGTTGGTGATCTGAGGCATTATGCTGGCGTCGATCACTCTAAGCCCTTGGACACCATACACCCTTAGACTGGGATCGACCACCGCCATAGGATCGTTGGCCGGACCCATTTTGGCGGTACCTATGACAGTTAAAACAGTGATTTGTTGACATGTTGTTTAAATAAAAACATTGATAAATGAGTGGTTTTTTTTTTTTTTTAATTTAATAATTCAATTATTAGCTGTTTTTTTAGCATCGATGCGTAGCTGAGAAGATACTGTTTATACAATTATGTGTTTTTATTTTGTGTCTGGACCCACGATATCTTCTATACCGCTGGACCAATTGCTTTGTGTAGCGACTCTACGGATCAGGAATCGTACCTAGAAATAGGTACTTCGTATACGATTTCCTCGAAAAATCTGGAGTCAAACTTTTGTTTTTTATTAAGTTTTTGAGCGATCCCCAGCGGTAAAACATAGCCATGTTTAAAAGAAGACTAGATGTTGTGGAAAAAGATCTAGATAGAGTATAATACTCTTGTATGTGCGTGCGCAGAAAGGGGGGGGGGCGACGCGTTTTGGTTTCTACGGAGTACCGTTCTCTCGTGAGACAGGGTATAGTGTTGGTGGCCAAAATAAAATGCCAAAAGAAGAAGGGAATTTAAATTTAGAGATTATTTCAATTCGAGTTCCCCTTTTTAGGTAGTGGGGGAGGGGAGGTAGTGACTCTCATTTTTAGTCGAGTAGGACCAGCGCAGCGGTACTCACCGGACATGTGGTAAATGGTCATGGTGTACTGTCGGACGACGCACTCCCAGTACTCGTCGGTGAACAGTTCGAGGTGTTTGCAACCGGGAACTGGCCTGGCGTGGAACCGGGCGCCGAACCTTTTCATGGCCGTGGTCTCCCCAACGGCCACGGCCGCCTTGACGCCTTCCCTGAGCACCCGCAAGTCTTCGATGTCCGAGAAGTAATTGTGGTACAACAATGGGTATTGGTGCGGGTTATTACTGCGCAACAGTATCCGGCCCCGGCTCTTGGGCCTCAACAACATGGGGAACACGCCGAACACGTCCTTGTTGTTCAGGTCGGCCAGATATTCGTTGTAGAACTCGTCGCGCAGACAATGCGCCTTCCTGGCGGCCGTGCCGCCGTCCGAATTGGTCGACGTGGACGTCAACATGAACTCGATGTCCGGCCAGTCGTCCGACTGGTTGCCGTATTTGGTCGTTATGAACGCCACAGTTTCCAAACCGATGGACGACGTTAACGGCCCTTCGCCCAGTACGGCATACCTGTAACGCGTAACATTTTGACATAAATACAAGGTGCGACATAATTATTATGTCATTATGGATATTGATCGTACGCCGTTTGAACGATATCGGTTTAATAATAGGTTTATCCATGTAGGTCAATAGTATTAATATTAGGTCGACATTAAACTACTGTCACAGTGCTTATAAAATACCGGTTAATTCTTTAAACGCCCTACACTAGATTACTCTTAAAATAATTGCAATTGGGTAGCATGCTATATAAAAGACAATATTACATTTTTTATCTTTTTTTTGTAATTTTTTCCAGGAGCTTTAACAACTTTTGTAACTTAAATAGTAACGTATATATTTTATTAACATTTTAAATTAAGAATAATTTATTAAAAATGTTGACTGGCCGATAACCAGTTTTGAATAAAAAGTTTTAAAGTTATAAAGTTTAAAATTTATGACGGGAGGAAGGGTGGAGAGTAGAGTTATTTTTATCTGCACGCATTTCTCAACCACACTACACCTCCCGTCCTAAGTTTTACACTTAAATAACTTTAAAAATAATTTTTCAAAACTGTATTAATAGTATTAAGTGTAAGGAAATCAAACAAAACTAACAAAATAGAAACCCGATTGGAAACTACCATAATACCACCCTAGACAGAGATATTCAAACAGAGTGAAAGAAGTCCAAGGGTTGTTCTGTGTTAATAGATTTGGGTGGACCTTGAGGTATGCATTAAGTTACCAAAAAAAAACGCATCTTACCAAAACATAAATAAAGTAATTTATATCCCACGCAGTAATATTTTCTAAATGTTTTTTCGAGGTTGGGTGAAAAATATTTTTCAAGTATTATATTGTTTCATGTATCGGAAATAGTTATTAAATGTACAGCAATAACATATTAGTGTAATGTTTGATTTCCTGCCAAAAATATTTTTATTATTTTTTTAAAATTATTGCTATGTGGTATTTGTAATCCTTATTAAAAAAAACTTCTTATAGTTTGAAAATGGAAATTCTGAGTTATACCTACTTTGTAAACGAGTACATTACCCAATCATTATTATGAATAATATATGAATTCCACCGATTTTTGTATGTATTTAATTTTGAGCTAAAAAAACTGGACACATATATACATTTTTTTTGTATTGCAAAATATATATCAATACAAGTATTGGTCCATCTCGACCATAATTAGAGCGATTGTCGTTCAAGGACATGCATATTATTATACGGTACGGTGGATAGCCATGGCGCTTAATTGAAAAACTGATAGACACAATAGTAGACGGTTTAAAAAATATTAAAATAGGTATGTACACAAAAGATATATAGTAGGACTAATTAAAAATAAATTGCGCTAATAAAGAAAAGAAAAATACTTATTTGTGAATAATGCTAATGGCTTTAGGGAAACCGGTTAATTAAATAGAAAGCGCGCGGGACGCGATAAAACCTTAAAAATTATATTTCATTACATACTTGTACCTACGGTATTCAATGTTATATAATTTTTTTTTTTCACAAAACAAAACAGTTAAATGAATACTTGCTAAAATATTTAGCAGTTTTGGCGCATAAACGTTTTTTAATATGAACTCTTAATGTTTCATTTCTAGCGAATCAGCGTTCATTGTGTACTTCCAAAGAACTAGATGTTATGTTTGTATCATTACAACTAAATTACTCTACCTACAGTTAATGGTTATTGGCTAGATAATAATGATTATAGTATAGTTACTGAAATATTTAGCACTGCACTTAATACAGTGTGTGAATGTTCTAAAGATTAGCGGACTCTGAGACCGATGGATCGTTAAAGATGAAAGAATTAATGGTCATATTAAATAGCGCTTTGTACGGGTTATGACTTAATAATTTGGTCATTTAAACATCGCCAAAACGTCTAAGACTCAAATGAAAAAAATCTATTTCCAGTCAGCCGTCTTACAGCCAATTTATAATTTAATAAAACAACATTGGTTATTATATATTTTGTAGTTGCCACCGTTACACAGCAAACAAATTTCTACTCCAAGTTATATAACGTTTTTTCCTCTGTTGCCAAAAATGTTGTAACGGGATATAACTTGGTACATGCGTTATGGTCCAGTGCAATATTACCATACATCAGAAAACATGTTTCTAATTTACTTTCAAGCTTTGTACGGTCATAACTCAAGCTGACACGTTACTATTCTACTTCTGGTGCAATGACATTTAGAAAAATATGTATCGTTAATCTCTTTGTATCGATACCAATGACTGTGCTTTTATTATTTAACGATTTTAGCGTTGACTTGACTTATTAACATTAAGTATAGACAGTTGTAGTATAATATTATTACTTCTTGGAACAGGCATTATTATTGGACTTATGATTAATTTATAGGCTATACGTCATGGAAGTTTCTAATAGGCGAAAAAGCAAGGCGGTTGAACTCTTCAACCAGAGACTATAGTTTCACCATCTTACTTAACCGAACCGATAGCAAATACAATTATACTATATTTTGATATTGCGTAGTATAGTATCAGATTGAGTGAACAACTGAAAATGCCTCTTCAATTAACCTTAAGCTAATTTTTTCGTTTAATATTCACTGGATGTATTTGATCAGTTCTATAATATCTACACACGTGTATGGTGTAGTATGATGCAAGTCTGAGAAGACTTGTGACCTAATTTCTAAGTTCCTAAAATCGTATTACGTTTCCCATAAATCAAGGATGGAAAAACCCATTATTTTTATAACTCTAAAAAAAATTGTAATTCAGGTATAAAATAAGTTAATACAGATTCCAGTTGACTAATGAATTTAATAGTTCACAAGTTGATCCACAAACCAAAAATGAAAGTGTGTCATTACGTTTGTAATAGTACCAAAACAAAACAGTTAAACTGAAAAGTTATCAAAATAATACCTTTTTAGTTTCCTTTTAACTATAAACTACTGATCCCTTAATTCTCAGCTTTGTATTATATTCTCACAGATAATTTCACCGTTAAATGTCACCAGTGTGTTTGCCGACACTTCAACTATGAGATTAAAAAACAGATAAGTTATCTGGCCGTTCCCATTCTTATCACCGTTAATGTAATCTTTTTATGGGTCGTGACTGCAGCGCACACCTTCTGTTACTATTTTTTTTTTTTTTTTAATATATATTCTATGAATGTTTGTGCGTTTACCTTAGAGCCGCCGGGATGTTAACCACGCGGTTCATCACCAGACTGACGGGAAAGTCGATTGGGAATAAGATACCGCCGACGGCCACGTGGTCCATGAGGTTTTCGCCGACCCCCGGTGAATGATGGACCACCGGTACGCCGATACTTTTGAGATGCGCTTCCGGTCCAACACCTAAATGATAAAAAAAAAAACCCGTCAAAATATAAAAAAATATGCTTATGACATTTTTTTTTTATCGCTTTCCGGGATTACGGTCGGTGAGCAAACGTTTGCGTCGGCCGGAGATTACAAAATATTATTACTGTATACATAAGTATTATAACTGCAATATAGACGGTCGTCGCGCCGGTTGCTTTCACCTGGCCCAGCGCGAAATCATGACGGATTCACATGTGTGTGATGGCGCTCACGTAGACACCGTAATATGTAAAAAAAATCCACTTGCCCGTAGTGATCTTGATCATTGTCAGTTGTCCAGATTCGGACGGGATTGGTAAAGTAAAAAAAGAAAGTATATCCGCGCGGACGAATCGCGGCACGTGTGGGGGATATGTCTTGCACGCGACACGAACGTGTTAACGTTTCCCTAACGACGAACAAACCCTTTTGGCCATGGGGGACTATAGGCGAGCGAATAGGTCGAAGCACAATGCACACAGAAATCTCGGGAACTCGGGAAAAATTCAGCAATCGCACAACCCCAAACGTCTTACCGGAAAGCATCAGCAACTGCGGCGTGTTGATGGCGCCGGCCGACACCACCACCTCCCTTTTGGCCAGCGCCGTTCTCTTCTTGCCGTCCCGCTCGAACTCCACGCCGTAGGCTCTTTTGCTTTCGGCGTCGATCAGCACTTTGGTGACGTGCGACCACAAGGCCACGTGCAGGTTCCTTCTGAGTCTTATGGGCTGCAGGAACGCCTTGGAAGTGCTGCATCGGTAACCCCGGCGCATGGTGAACTGGTACAGCCCGTAACCCGTCTGGATCTCGCTGTTGGTGTCCCTGATCTCGTACCCCATTTCCTCGCCGGCTTGCAAAAACGCAATACCTAACAAAACATGCCGTGTCAAAAACGCCTCTAGGGACGGCTTCAATAGTGCACGAGGAACCGATCAAGTAAAATCTCGACCAGCACAGTATAAATCAATCACAGTCTAAACCGAGAAAAGTCTGAAAACACTTCTCAGTCTTCCAACAATAAACTACTATTTAATATATTGGCATTGGTGTAACTTGATGCCTTCTGCGGTTTTCAAAAACTAATTTGATACTCCCTTTTATTTACAAAAAAAAAAACTGACCCCGTCTGTTCCTATATTATACCTATCACTATATTATGTCGCATATGCGTATCATGAATAATACCTCTTACTTGAAAATAGCATGTAAAAATTTACTTCTGACAATTCCCACGACAAAAGTGTACTTATATTACAAAGCGCTTTCGTCTAAACGGTTATTGTTTGTTTCCTAGGTTCTTCTGTTATCTGTCAAGATTATCTAGGCTTCGATATAGCTATATACCTAACAGTTATACAGCTAATGCCAGCTAATTCCATGTTCTTTACGTCTCCCGTAGTCACTACTAATACTCAAGTCCATGCATAAGTGCTGGGATCAAAATAGTAAAAAATAAATTGAAAACGAAAGAACACAACATGTTATATTATGTATTTTTTTCTGGGCGACCTTTCGTTTTTTTCGGATTTACTATTACGATCACGTAATCGACAACACACAATATGCGTTGGGCTCTTTCGGTAAAGATTTAATTATATGCGTGCAGCGTATGTACGTTTACTTAAATGGACATAAACTTAAGTAGACGCACTCGGAGCGCAAACCACAAAGAATTTCTTCGAGAATTAAAGCCAATATAATTATTACCAACGGTCACGCCCACTTAATATTGTTTATTATCCTTTCGTGTGTGCGGTTCGATTGAGCCGTTCTCGTAGGCCTTATTGGGACGTGAGAAACAAAGTATCCGATGTCTATTACACCTGAGGTATTTGGATTGCCAAGGGTGGATCACACGCTGTCCGCCTGAACCCAGACTCATGGTCTACACGGTAGGTAACTACGTAGATTTATAATAAAATACTTTCCAAAACTGACGTGGTACTGTCTTTTCAATTGTTGCTACTTTAATGTGAGCGTGAGTCGTGTGTTGTAATTAATGGCTGGACCGATGACATATCGGACTCGAGATTTAGACCATGTCGTATGGTGTAAGACTTACACTGTGAGTAATACCTGTCGGCACACGGTTGTACTAAGTCCGTTTTACTAAGTTTTGGCAAAAGAAGGTTTATCTTTTGCATAACTAGAACGATTATGTAAAATGGAATTTGCACAACTGCGTTGAATCAATACTGCCGGTATCAAGCCAAAGCCCTTGGCACGCGAGCTCGGCTGAAATCATATAGAAATGGATAAGACTTGTAGATGCTTACCGAGAGGAGTGTTCCAAGGGGCGTCTTGCACGGTCAGGTAACCGCCGGTCGCGTGGTACTTGGTGTTTTTGGCCAAGTACGGGTTGCGTTGGTCTTGGGATTTTTTGAAGTAAGGAAGCACTTCTTCGAACGACCATCCTGGATTGCCCATGCTGGCCCAGTTGTCGTAGTCCCTCCTGTTGCCCCGCACGTACAACATGGTGTTGAGCACGCTGGAGCCTCCTATGACTTTGCCCCGAGTCCAGCAACACCTTTTGCCCTTCATCGCCTGGCAAGCCGAATCGGCCGGCTGCGTCTTGTACTTCCAGTCATACTTGCTGCCGTGTAAGTACAGGGAAATGGCCGGCACGTCTGTCAGCTCGGACTCGGGCCCGCCGGCCTCCAGCAGCAGCACGTTCCATTCGGGGTTCTCCGACAAACGGTTGGCGACAACGGCACCGGCCGAACCACCGCCCACCACGACGAAGTCATATTCCGCTCTCAAGTTCTTCTCGTTCACCAGCCGACTCTCAGGGTCGTACAGGTCATAATTGTAATACGCCAAGGCGGCCAGGAACGTGGGCAGGAACAATAACTTTCCACCGCCGACTAATTTGGTGGCCAATTTTATGGCGCTTATCAGCACCGTACCTGTGTGCACCATCTCGAGTGACGTCACATCTTATGCATCATCATAGTTTGAACAAACAGCAAACGCCTGAAAAACAAACATTGATAAAGTAACATTACATGCAATTGAATGGAGTACAATTGTTCAAATTTTCAAGTTCTACTTGTGACCAAAACCGTCGCAATAATCAAGCGGACAAAAATATTTTATTATTATCCGACATTGCTTTCTACAGTTTCCCTCATATGTGTGCACCTAAAACTATTTTAGTTCTCGTGTTCATAAGTCTTGACTATAAAATGAATTCGGAAGAAATCAGATTTGTATTTTGTTTCTTTATTATGTCGGGGATAACCGATAAACTACAGCAAAAAAAATGTTACAAATCAGATCATATTGTCAGGAATACTTGGAAAAGAGGCGATCAGTAAGACGTATTCTATTACAGTTCTATGTAACCTATTTTTAAAGAGAGTATAATGATTTTATATAAGGGACAACTTTGAATGTTATGATTCTCATGAACCTTAAATTTTAATCTCCCTAAACAAAATATTCCAAAAATTAACTTTTCATTGTATCTTTCTAATCGATTAGTAAAACATTTTTAATTTCAAAACATGATTTCATTAAGCAATAACCATTCAGATTGATTCTCATTGAACATGTTAGCTTGTACATTCTTTCAGATACACATATTAAATTAATTCGTTATTACAAATTGTATTACATCATGAAGCACCGTTTAGCTTGTAGGTTTTTAATCTATACTAAAGCTAATTTAGAGCTAGGTTATAATATGTTTTAAATTAAATCACAGTTAAAGAAATTTGCTGTAACAGTTATAGTCTTACTAAAATTAGCATAAAAATCCCCTCATTCAACATACTAACAGCTAACCTTATAATCGTGACTTATTCATTTAGAATGTATGCGATTAAATATTTCATCGATCCATGTGTAGGTACGTAGAAATATTAAAATATCATGTAACATTATTACTGTGTAATGTATATGTATAAAACTGCATATCCCAAACGGTTTAATATCCAAAAGAAAGGATAAGTTTATCGGAATGTTGCAAAAAAAAAAAATAATGGTTGTGTAATCGAAGCGCAGTTGCCTATGAATTATTCCTTAATTATATTATAAAACTATTTTCATTTACGTAACCCCAAAGATAGTCATGGAATGTTTGCTTGAAAAAAAAAACATTTTTTTTAACAATTAATTTCATCATGTTAATAACAAAAAAGAAAAAGATAAAACTAGATAAGGATATACAACATTCCTCGTGGCTGCCAATGATAATAAATCTTTATATAATATATTTATCGGCTATGTATCTTCATTTTATTTTTATTGTAATAAAATATCATTTCTGGTAGTCATATTTAATATTAATATTTATTTTTAACAATGATGGAATGAAAGCGTAGAACTAAGCATGCAACTCAGATGCCTGATAAAATGAGTTAAATAATGGAATTATAAGAAACTAGTTTTTTTTTTATCAATATATTATAACATATGTAGGGCTGAGAATAAATCACTGATGTATTCAGCTTATCAATTTTAGTTTCTTAGAAATATACCTATAATTAAATAACTAACTTTTTAATTGCTATTATTTTAAGGATTTATTTAATTTAATTGAGATATGGATACTTGATTGATTCAGTTAATTAAATTAATTATATTCGTAGCGCTTATTGCCAAAAACGAATGAAATTGTTATAAGTATATGTTTAATTTAACTACTCTGAAATGTGCTAGATCAATTAGTCCCACTTACAGTTTCAAGTTAGGTATATACATTATTTTATTTTTATAACTAGAGATCAGGCCAAATTTTCTACATTTTTAAGAACTCAAATGCTCAAACACAAATGCTTTGAATTAGGAATTTTAAATAAACAAATAAGTTAAGATTTCCAATATTCTCCTTTTAAAAATTCAATTTTGGGGTTTTCAAAATTCTGAAAATCCAGTTGAAACTCTATAAAATGGTTTAATTATTTGGCTATTGTTGTAAGTACAAATAGATTAATGTTAAATAAAATTCGTTTGTCATTTAAAAAAAAAAATTGTATTATTTTTGTTAAATCTTTTTTAACGCAAGTTATGTGCTTTGTATTAGTTTTCTCACATTTGGAAGTGTTTGTAAAAAAAAAAAATGATTGAACGATTTCCAAAACTGAAATGCAAGAGCAAAGAATGACATAACGACGCGAGGCGTACGATGAATATAACATTGGTAATTCATGGCCAAGATTTACTGTGTTGTAATTAGTGACATTATTTTGTGAAGAAAGTCCTCAATGAAAATGTTGAGAAATCACCGCCGAGTGGGACATGTTCGTCGTTTCTATGTGTACAGTGTAAAATATAATAACCGTTGAACTTGAACCAAAAATTGATTGTTGCAACTGTGCAGGACCGCTACAGCAGCCGATGTCGATAGGTCAATCTTTTGTGTGTCTCTTCAACGGTCATTTATAACAAAATTGCATAATCCAATTGTTTGCGTTGAACTATTAAGATTTTCACGGACATTTATAAATCGGCGCGTCATGAGAAAATCTTGTAAAAATAAAATAAAAAAAATCTTTATTTTGCGCTTTAAAACATCTCGCTTAATGAGATAACATTATCGTTTTACTGACGATAGGATTTTCAATTGACTGACCTCATACGTGACTTTTGTTTTCTCACAATTTTGCAACAGTAAAAAAAAGAAGAAAAAAAAACGTGTCATAATAAGTCTGTGTCATAAGTCCCCTCCATTGGTTTAAGGCCAAGGCCACTTTCCCATTTCCCCGGAGCGCAAACCGCGCTTAACGTTTATTTTATCTAAAAAGCTGTCTGCCGACATAATACTTTGTGTATTGGCTTAGGATAATGGAATCTCGAATAAACAATAGCGTTCAAATATTATCCAGCACACAAAACGCAGTTTAAACGCCAGACAGAAAAATATATTGTTATGTAAAACAAAAACTAAACGATAAGTTTACATTATTCTACACGACAACAATACGAATATTATTATGTTTTCTAAACTATTTAGAAAACAATTCAAAATCAATAACATTTCAACAGAAAAAAAATGGTCCTCCATCATTTAAAATATTTCACTTTTAAATTAATTAATAAAAGTAGCCAAAAAGTACGGTTATAAAACTATTTTTTAATACAAATATTTCGTTGAAACTATTTTGTACATACAATGAATAAACGAAAATGTTTAATAAGTAACATTAAGAATAAATTCAAAATTAAACTATTTTATTTAAGATAATGTAATACAATATAATATCTTTTTATACTTTTATGATAATAGTTAAATTACAAACAAAACAATTATCAAGGACATAGTTTTTTTTTGTTCGAAAGTAATTTGAGTTAATTCATAGTAAATACACGGTTTATCTGAAAATGTAATTCAATTTCAACGCATTTAAAACTTAGCATAATGTAGGTATCCTTTTAATAAATACTATTTTAACGTTGTCAAAAATATAAGAGAAATGTATCTTATATTTGAAATCAACTTTTAAAACTTAAATTTTAAAGTGTATATTTTATTAACTTTTTAAATTAAGAATATTTTACGAAAAAAATTGACTGGTTGATAACCAGTTTTGAACAACTATTTTTGAATTTATAAGAGTTTAAAAGCTAGGACGGGAGGGGAAGTGCGAGCAAATAAAAATAATACTACACTCCACCTTTCCACCTGCCCTAAACTTGAAACTTCAATAACTTCAAGAATAGTTATCGAAAACTGGTTAACGACTAGTTAAAATGTTTGTTAATATATTATTTTAAATATAAAAAGCTAATAATATAAAAAGTTTATAGAAAAAAAATTAGTTTGGGAGGGGAGTAGGTACATAAATATTTAAATTATATTCAAACACTATGGAAAAAAATGCAATTATTGTTTAAACCCAATGCGATGTTGAGTGGTTCGCAATAAAATGATCACCTTGTATGTTATTGTCTGAGTTAATTCGGTTGTGGCGTCGACGCTATTGCACTGATGTAGGTTTTAGTTGACATATTTTTTTAACGGTCGGCACCGCAAACGTTGGGTAACAGTGTGGGACTTATTAAAATAATATTACTATGTGTAGTCAATAGAGAAATGATCATTATTTTATTTTTTTCGTTATCCAAAAACAACCCGAATGACAGGATATCGGCCAGCAAGTTCACCGAAACGCCATATAACCCGGTTGTAATCGGTGAAAGCCGAGTAACTCGGTGTCTGTGTTATTATCATTGCATATTATACATATATAATATATATATACCTACACTTTGTTTTTGAACGTGAACCGTCGTCGTTGACATAACTGTTATGATTATTGCTAAACACACAACGCCACCGCGTCTCGTTACGTCGTGCCGGCATTGTAATACATCCGATAAATGTTTTTTTTTTCCCAACGCTCATTATTTTGTTAATAATACCTAATTGGTCGGCTATCATTTGAGAAACTCTATACGTCTACCTTAACTTGTTATTACAATAACGATTACCGTAGGACCCATTAGCGCCACTGACTATCCTCTGTAGACGTTCGAATCAAAGGGGGAAAATACCAGGAAAACATCCCGGATTTTATTGAAAATCCCGTAGACAAATATGAAGGGAAATTCTCAGTTAGAAAACCGCAAAGACTATTAATAGACAAGTCAAAAGTGACTACGAACTCAGTTAAGATCAAACGTATAAATGATTTTGAATTGTGCTAGAAATGTGTTAATGGCTAATGTTAACTTAATTAATTAACTGAAGGTTTGTTAAATAAGTCAATTGAAAAAACCAACCTGGTTAGAAAGTTAAAATGAGCTAAACATTTTAACGCGTTATTCTTTAGTTTTAAATTTTTATTAAAACGATTTGAAGGCTTTGAGCGATGGCAATAGATTAATATGTTATGTAAAATATTTACTTATCAACTTGAATGTATGCATTTATCTTATCGATTTTTTGGGTGATTATTTGTTGTTTACAATAATACTAGTCGGTCCGCGGTCGTAGGGGATCCCTTCAGGGCAAAGCCCAGGTACACCTGTTTACAATAAAAACTAGACAAGCGACTTAATTTATGCAACTCTTAATAATATTACTAGTTACGTGAAACTCCCCAAAAAAGTAACCAGATAATCCAACAACGAATTTACTAATGAGGAAACAGATTGTACCCACCTCTAGTTCAACAACCAAATTGTACATTTTTGTAAAATTATCAATTTCTAAAAATTACCAACTAAACTTCTGTAATTTAAAATTTAATATTTTTTAATTTTGTTTTCGAGACTGGTTAAAAATCAAATCGAAGGTGTTACAGTTTTGATTTACAAACTTCGAACGAGGTGTTGTACAAACAAAATAGGTATCAAACGGACTCTCTTTACACGTTAACATCAAAACGATCAATAAAATTGCCTCGATTCCTTCTGAAAAATCTATTGTATCACCTTAATGACCTTATCTCTCCTTAATTAGTATCTCGATACTCATTCCTGGGTATTCTCGAAGAAAGTCAAAGCGAGAAAGTAGCATGGACTCAATTTGAAAAAACAAACAGTTTACGATCAAATAGTAGTGCTAGAACATACATTTAAATAATATTCACCATATTATGGTCATTGTAAACAATCTATTTTGAAAATTGTAAATTTCTATTAAACAGAATTTAATTCTGTTGCAGCAAATGTCTATTATTACAAAACTTTAGTTGAGTTTATATTAAACTACTTAGTACCGTCAATCCGAATCAAATGGAACATTTTTGGGGGCTTGGAACACTGTATTTTGGTACCTCGAGTTGTTTTCAATCCTATTTATTTTTTTGTAAAACAACTTTGCAAACCTAAACAAAATAAGTTATGAACTAAATTTCCATTACCTAACAACTTAAATAATCAACAATTAGTTATTCGAAGTCGGATGCCTGTTTCCTTTCATGCTGGTCGATGGTAATTGGTTTTAACTTACTTAATCATGACCTTCGCGTGGGATAAATATAAATGCAATTTTTGAACCGAAATAGTAAATAATTTTTAACGTTTAACTTTTTATCGAAACAGGAGCTGTCATACCGTCAAAAATATATACTTGTCCGACCTCGTTATTACATAATGATATCATGTCCGAGCGTCTGACTTCCGAAAAGCAACTTCATGTGCGTTGCACACATATTTTATACTTCACAAGTTGGTCACCGGGCAAAACCCTGCGGTCACCGGAAGTGCAGTCTGCGCTCGTTGGAACGAGGAACGGCTAAGAGAAAAACGTGCGTTCTTCCTCGATATTATTGCATCAACGGTCGCGCGCGTGCAAACCGGTTGTATACCACTTTCGCTCTTACCGTAGAAAAAACATAAAAAGTATAATAAAAAAAAAAAAAAAAATATTAAGGATTACAACCGGAAGGTCGCATAACGATGACATACAAATCCGTTGGTCTCGACAAACAAACGGACTCGTGTCGCCGGTCACGTTCTTAAACAATTAACCGGTAAAACACGAAAAACAAACCTTAAGAAACGAACGCCCGAGTCTGAAACGAGAACAAAATATATGCTTACCGTGTTATGGAAACACTATAACACTAATAGGCTTGGAAAGTCGATGATTTATAAAACATGTTAGGTTGAGACGTTAAAGTCGAATCAAAAGCTAATTCAAACGGTCGACTCGGGTTTGATTGTATGAAAATTAGCTAACTTTTCCGTTGAATACAGTTAATTGTACAACAACTAATAATTACATTAAGTAAAACGATTTAGTTAGCTTTGGATATTAACTCCAACGGTAATTTTCCAAATTAAGTTAAAAATAAGAATTTACTTAATTTTCAACGTACAACGAACGAGTTTATCTGTATGCAAATTCACTGACTTTTCAGTTAAATACAGTTAACTGTATTAAGTAAAACGATTTAGTTAACTTTGGATATTAACTATAACTGTAATTTACCAAAATTAATTGAAAAAGCAGAATTTACTTCATTTTTAACGTGCAACCTTTGCATGCAAGTCGTACTTGTGCGAGTACAGACGACTTTCGCTATGAAATTTTTGTTTATAATTATAATAATAATTGTTGACATTACCTGATCGTCGTGGACGTCCTGTCGCGGCGTTTTGCTCTATTATTATTGGTATTGTATTCCTTCAAGTCCAACCGCTGTATGTATACTATTCGACGACCGGGGAATTTTTTTTTAATTTGTTTTTTGCGAAAACACCTGAAAGTGAGATGACCTAACCCCGTCGGAAAACTTCACCGGAGCGGATCGACAAAACTTTGTTCGTACGGTTATGCGTCCGCCGAATGACTGGACAACCACTTGTTTGTTTTGGTTTTTTTTTTTTTTTTTTTTGAAACAATTCTCGTCGTCGTTGTCGGTGGCGTTTGTCAGTGTGTGTGTGAATCGCATAAGGTTATAATAATAAGGCAGCGGCTATCGTTTCCTCTTCCCTTTGGATATCCCCTCTGCCACCGTCAGTGAAAGTAAGTATATGACCACCGGCTCGGCACAGCCCGTAAAGCCCCCACAAGACCCGCAGAGGTGACACGTCACGACTACTCGCCGCTATATGTAGCGAATCAATGGCTCGCCCAGGAGGATACCTAGGTGTACTGCAATGCCTACCCAAATAATAGTATTATACGGTTATCGTATTAATGTTATGTACCTGATCATCAGCGTGCAGGCGTAATAACATTATTATTATATTACCGAATACGTTTGCCGTTAAATAACGTACTGGTACACCGGCCGAGTAATTAAATTGTTACGCGCTCTCAAAAAGAATACCAAAACGCCTAAGGAAACAATTGGGTTAACCGCGGCGATGAATACCGAATTATATTGTACATATAACTCTTTTGACCTACCTAAGTGCTTCTTAGACCGAGAACAAGTGTGTTTTATGAGACGATAACCTAAGTCCTTAAGTACTCACTACTCTATAATCATTTTAGCTTCGATACGGAGCGGAAAAGGTATTGTTCTTATAATAGTTAGTGCACATTTGTTTATTATGTCTCTTCGGCCACGATATCTCTATCGAATTCATCAAGTCTACAGATCAGAAATCATACCTGGAAGATAATTGTTTCGGCCAAAAATTTAAAAAGTTTACCTTTTCTTTTAAAAAAAAGTCTACTATAGGTAGATGTAAAGTGGGGCTGTGACTTGTACAGTTTTCTCATAAATTTGTAGGCAAACTTTTTAATTTATAAAGAAAAAACCAAACAATGGGAAAATGACCACATTAATGCAATGTGTGCTTACAGTTATAATAATTCTTATAGTCCTGTCATCACATCGACCTCACTACGCCATTATACCATATTTTTTATAATATTTGTCAAGAAAAATGTTCAGTTGACTTACTCAATGAAGACTATTTTCGGTGAAAAATTTAGATAATTAAACTTAAAATATTAAACATTTGGTAGTGGTTTTAAAGTCATCAGCTTAACCTAAGCCTAAAACAAACCGTTACATCTTACCACGCTCACTTATAGGCTCACTTTTTTTTACTTTTATCTAATTTTCTTACCTTTGACAATCTCTTATTTCGTTGCATACATCCAAACCATCTTTATCAAATCAAATTCATTGTCCTATTAAAAATGTATTAAGTAACGAACATCAATAATTTGTTATCATAATAATATTAAGTAATACCATATAATATTATATTGTAAAGATATTATTATTAGTAACAGCATTGTTCAGTGGCTCTTGAAGTACATGGCGTATTAAAGATTTACTCATTATTATATTTATTTTATTTATTTGTTCTTCGAGAAGATAATAAAATAATGACATATTAATAAGAATGTGACATATGATGCTCAACCATCATGTCTGTGGGGGGCTTATGAGGTCACATAAGTATGTAATATAAACCTTATAACAATACGTTTTAAGTATAATACTGTACATTTAATCACATCATAATAGTTTAAAAAGTACAACTTATGGAACTTAAGCAATAAAAATGATTCACTCAACTATTTTTATGTGACTAGTATTGATGCGAAAAATAAATTGTTATTGTAAAATGTCTTGGATAATAAATTATGTTATAAAAACTTATTTTGTAAGCATTTTTAAACTTAAAAAAAACAAAACACAATCTAAATTTGAATAAAACTGCATTTTTATGTTTTATTTTAGAATTCTTGATAGTTATATTACACTTTCTACTATCTTTTTATTTGTATACTTACAGAAGCAATATGAGGGTAAACAGTCATATCACATATGATTTCCCTTCAATTTCATAAGTATTAAACATCTTTATTATTGATCATTATCACAACTTTTTTATAACGATTACTTACTTAATTATCTGGTTTTTTTTAAAGAAATACTTTACAACTGTACCTTATAGAAATCTGTAGACATTTTAGACTTTACATGTGGTGTCAAGGTTTTTTTTACGCAATACTCTGTTCCGGTTATAATTAGCAGATAAATAATGGATTTAAAACTCATCTCAATTAAATTAATTTAGTCTGAAGGGTACTATCATTGGATGGCCTCCCTTATCATGCCATTCTGTTATTTATATTATATTATATTATTGTTTTGTTGTACATATCATCTCATTTACCTATTATGTTAACTAATACAGATTGTAAATTTTCAATAAAAAAAAAACTCATCTCTAATAATGATTACATCTCAAAACAATATTCATTGGCAGTCATAAAAACAAAAATATAAACTCATATCTTTTACTACATGCTAGTACAAAGTGTTTATAATCTCAGTACATAGTTTTATATAATGTAAAAGTCAGATTGGTCGATACAAATGAATGCATTGTCTTATTTTTTATTGTTATTGTAGTACGGTTGTCAATGTACACTTTAAAACTTGCATATTTTAAAACAACGAATAAAAACAATTTATATGTAAATTACTATTAAGTATTTCCGACTGCATTTGCGTAGGTTACAGCAAAAATTAGGATATTTAGTATTTACCATTTACTTTCGAGTAGTAAAGTACACTGTACTAGAGATCATCGGTTCAGTGAAAATTGTACTAACCGTAATATAATATGAAATTAAGAAAGATAAAAGGAAAAAAGGTGTTTATTTACTGCACTTGCCTTAAGTTTAAGACAGTATACGCATTATAACAAAACCAACTCTATACCTACCGTCGACATTGTGCAACTTTGGTGCCTGTTTAATTTAAAAAGTAACAAGCAGCGATAAACGCTTGGCGTGGTAGGGGTAATAATGATTATTGTGTGTGTTATTATTTTAGAATGACAAAATGTGTCAAAAACGGTATCCGAAGTGTACACTAGCAATTGTAATTGCATGACTCCGCCGAACGTGTCGATTAGTCATTGAATAATAGGGAATTTAGATCTCCCGCTGTCCTTATTTATAGCTACACACTTATAACCGACCGTATTTAGTAAGTACCACATGCTTTCTTTTTTCTTTTTTTTTGTCGTTAGGCAACAGCATAGGTCATCTTTCAGACAAACAGCGGTAGGCAACAGTCGTTACCTACATAATTAACGCATATTTCCAATAATAATTGGAAATGTACCATAATATATTATGTGTAGGCTTGAAATCAAAGCTAGAATAATTAAAAAATACAAATTTTTAGAAAACGCAAAAAAAAAACGATGGAAGACTTTCCCGAACTTGGGAGAAATAATTATATATATACAGTATAATATAATCATTTAACTTAGGCTAACAAACCGAATTGTCTATAAGACAGTGTCAGGCCACAGACACTGATAAAAATTAACACGGGGAAGATACTTATCATACAAAACGCGTCGGCCATCTTCTTACGACTACACCGTTATAATTTTTTTATATCTATTAAATGGTAATACAAATATGTATAAAATATAAATTATTATTATTTGCTGTGTATATATAACACATTATAATACTAAATAGGTCGTCACAAAATGGCGGTAACTTTTTTGTTTACATTGAAAGTGACCCTTCTGCTTTTTGCTATTCTGTGACAATGTTGCCAACTCATATCACAATTTTTGGGATCATGTGAGTGTTTTTTAATGTATGTTTTCTAATATTATTATAACAGCAGCCGTTATGAAATTACCTGCATTAGTAAATTAAAATAATTATATAGGTATTAAAAATATGATGATCGTGGCCGATTGGTTTAATAAAATATTATAATTATACTTTTATTACTAAACGCTTTCGTTACGGTAGCACTTCAGTCCCTAGGTATATTATTATTTTTAAATTAAAATACCAATTTCTAGTAATAATTAGCACAGTAATAGAGTGTCTTAATAAAATAGTTCTATTAAAACATCACAATATTATACTGCGATAAAATATAAGTATTTTTTTTTTTTTTTTACAGAGTTATATTTTTTTGAAAACGTTTATTACAGGAATTAATCTAAATTCATAACGTTGTTTAACTTTAATAACACCAAAGTATACATAAACGTTTTTTTCTGGATAACAATATTTGTATATTGTGCTTCCTAAATGTATAGGTTAGTCCATGCGAGCGGCTATATTTAAAAACCGTGACGTGTATGTGTTGTGTAATAATAGCTTCTAATTTATGTTTTATAATATAAATTATCATCTAACAGCTTTCACGAGAACATGAATATTTAATTCTAGGATAGTTTCCAATAGCGTGTGAATTTATTTTTACCTTACCGTTGTGGTATTATTTTATTGGTAGGTGCATAGTGTATTAAATTCATAGAAGTAATGAATAGTTTTGTGTTTAAAAGTACTAAAAATAACAAAAATTGTTAATAACTGTAAATATGTTTCTGGACGGAATAATACTTAATACTTGAAAAATAAATCAGCTTTGCTATTAATTAATTTCCAACATACCATGTGATTGGAAATCAAATAGGTAATAAACAGGTAAAAAAGTAGTATTTTATAGTCGGCTATGCAACAGTACAAAAAAGTGTGTTTAAGAATTTTTATTTAATTTTCTATAAACGAATAATGTTGTTGCACGTCTATCGACTTGTCACTTATTATTTGCATTATACTCATACGAGTTTATATATTGAGTAACACATTTGTATGATTAAGAAAATTTGTTTAATAAATAAACAGTTCATCCGTTTTAGTTTTAAAGGCGTAACATTATCGTAGGCCAATCGTCTTTTTGTAATAATAATAATACATTGTTAGCTTATTAAACAATTTGCTGACTCATAACTGTCATTCAGATTGCATTTCCATAGTCGCAATGATCTATTTACATCCTCAGATCAACTGCAAACTCATTTAGGACTCGTGATTGTCTTGTAGGTACTTTGAGAGTAAAAGTAATGACATAAAGTATACTTATAACAACAGTATGAGTTCACCGCGCTGAACTACTGTTGTAAACGCATTAAAATGATGAAGCTTCAAATTAGACACATTATTGTGCAACGGTCCGTCTACTAAATTGTATTTGGCATTCACCAATAGAGTTTAAGTAGAGAAAAAGTGAAACAAGTAAGCACCAGAACTAATGGGGGGGGGGGAGAGGTACAGCTTCTTTATAGGACTATTTGCACGTTTAGATACAGCGGTCGTAACTCCTTAAAAAAAAAAAACTTTTTCCTTGTTTTTGTATCAAATAACTATTATACGATACAATGTAGATGGGAAACGTTTATACCTTAATATAATAATTTGTAAGTATTATTCATATGTATACATAATGTAAGCTGCATAACATTTTTTTGTAAAATGTTAAACTGATCACAAGCTTAACTTAATTTTTTAGAAAACAATTGCAATTATTTCGTTTTTTTTTTTTTACTTTTTTGTCTGTCATTTATAATATTATGAAATTTCCAAACATTTATTATATTCTTCTTGGTTGTTAAATTATGTTAAGTTTAATTGAAATAAAATAAATAATAATATTTCATAAATTATTACTTCATTATTAATAATAGTAAATTAACATTTTTTTATTTTATTTAGTGATAATATAACAAGTGATTCGTCTATCCTTTATTACAATCAAACATGTACAAAATAATATTATATCAAGTCAAGGTGTTACCGTGCTAAATTATATTTTTACTTTTATCCTAATTAGGTCTTTTATTTTGTTATTATTAACATAATCATAACGTACATTTTTAGTTTCTAAATTAACTAATCTAGATTATAACTTAATCCTTTTACTATTTAACATTAATTTTTTGAATAACACAAATTTCAAATCATGTAAAACTTTTTCCTTTAATTTACTTAAGTTTAATTAAATACATAGTTAGTAAATTTTAATATTTTACAAATTTGAATTAATTAATAATTTGACAAATTGTTTACTTAATTAATATTTTTTTCCCTTCAACCTAAATTAAAAAAATAATGTACATAAGCCATTAAGTTGCCCAGTTTTTATACACTTTGTATATTAAATATATACAATATTTAAAGTACAATGATCTAGAATTTATACGAATTCAATTGGTTTATAACTATTATGATTATGTTATAACTAGTGTTGTCAATACAAAAAAAACTAATTGAGCTAATATGGTAAAAAAAACTTTTTTTGGGATATCATAATAATATAAAAACAGAAAAATATATAATATTAAGTAGTAACATAAAACTCAAATCTAAAATACAATATTAAATATGCTGTTATACATATACTATATTGTACGATCAACGGATGTCTTTTAAATTATAATACATAATTAAAGTTTCTTCTATTATTTACTTATATTTTATGTTGTATAATAAACGTAACAAGTTAAACAATTTATCACTTCTTAAATCCAAAGATTGAGAATTGAAATCTTTGTTATGGCATTCAACCCGAATAAGTATTAAATAGGTAAACATAACGATTTAAGAATAAAAAAAAATAAGTATTTTGATATAATTAAAAAGTAAAAATATAGTTAACTTAAAAATTAACTAATTAATTTTGATAAATTATAACTTGTTGAATTTCTAATACAAATACAACTTAACGTTATGTGTAACTTATTGTACATAAAAAAATAAAAAATCGAATCTTGAAATCAGTAAAAGAAACCTGTATATATTGTGAGTACGTTATGTCAGTAGATTGTAAGATATTAGTTTAAATTTTCATTAGTTTACAGAAATAAGTAAAATTGCAATTTCTGTTTTTTTTTTTAATATAATTTGTACAAAGGGTGCATATTCTAGACAGCTCATTACAGTACTTTACTTACAATTATAAAGATAGTTAATATAATATCACATAAGGCTTACAAATAAAACAGTAATATCGCGTTAAGTCTGACGAACGAAGGTTTAAAGAATATTTCTTCATTTGGACATGTGTTAGTATAAATAATAATTGTTTAATCACCATTGCCAATAAAAGTATTATAATATTAGACAATTTATGTTTACAGAGGGCAAAGGCATTAATGACAAAAGCATTTAAGTCCTTATTTTTTTTAAACTATTAGTTGCATTATTTTTAAGTAAAAGTTTTAACGGCAACATCTTAAATATTAGACTTTATATGACGTATTTGATTAGGAATATATTATTCTTGTAAATAATTATAAAGGTATGTAAAATGTATATAGTCGTTATTATAATATTTTGAGTTATTGAATTTCAAAAAAATATATTTGTATACTATTATTTAAACGTTTGTTCCATAATTTTTACAGTCACTTTAAGACTTTTTAAGAAACGTAAACAATTGTAATATTTTTTCTTTGATTACTTTAACGATTTTTTTTATAAGTCTGTCTTATAAGTTGGCGAATGAAATTTGTTGTCAATAATTGCTGTTAAATCAGAAATGATGGTCTTTTAACCAGTATTTTTTTATCATATCCGAAGCTTTTTCCGCTATCATAATGGTCGGGGCGTTGGTATTGCCCCGGACAATCGTGGGCATGATAGACGCATCGACCACCCTCAAGCCAGCCACCCCGTAAACCCTAAGTTGAGGGTCAACAACGGCTTCTTCGTCGTGCTCAGGTCCCATTTTGCACGTACCCACCGGATGGTAAATAGTAGTTGTGTATTCCATTATGACACACGCCCAATAGTCATCGCTGCCGAACTTGTATTTCTTGCAGCTTTTGGCCGGATGGTCTACCAGAACAGCACCGGCCTTACGCATGGCGTGTGTCTTCGCTATATTTGCCCCGACTTTCATTCCTAGACAGAAAAAAAACCAACAAACAATATTAAGCCCTTTGTAGTTCTGTCGAGGACAGAGAGCCGTTCTCGCCGTACAAAAGGACAAAACTAAAAAAAAAAAAATTAATAAAAAGTGATAGAAAATTATCTTTTAAAACCGGTCGCAGACACTTGATTTCCTTTAAGTTATCAACAGATATTAACACTAGGGGTGGGATTGGATATCTGGATTTAATGAGTTATGTGGACTACCCCAATTTATTTGATCATGTAGATTAGCAGAATTTTTGGATTTAACTAGTTTTTTTTTTTTTTAATATTAGACTTCTGTTACAAAATGATCACATACCTCTAGGATTATTACTTATTATTAAAAGTAATTTAAAAAGATGATTTCTTGTAAAAACTCAACTCTGCAAATCGGAGAATCTCCCAGGAACTCACCAAACTGTCATAAAAAATATACTATAAGGTATAACTATTAATGTAAATTAAAACCACTTGGCTGCTTATAACAAGTTAAAAAAACCTCCATACCCCGTTAAATAGGGAGATGTTGTTAAAAAAGGATTTGTTGGAAATTGGCTACCAAATTTGAAAATGGTTTAAATTACTTATGATAATAATTGTCAATTAAATGCTCAATTTAACAAAACAACAAAGACTTTTGACACTTCTCTACATTGTGTTAACAGCTAGTTTGTAACACAATTAAACTGACACACGGGTTAGCTTCTTATGAACACTAGAAAATGTATTCAACGTTATTAAAATCGAATTAAACTCCATATTAACGTTTTAAGGTCCGCAATAAAGCGTACCTAATGCATTTATACGCAATTAAACTGAGTAGCAAATAAAATATTTTGTAATGTCAAAAATGCTAATCTTACACAATCGTTTTGGCTAATGGACGAATATTAATCGTTTCACTGGAAATTCTCGTCCGTGTGTAAATTTAATAACAATAACAACAACAATGAGTTATATCTCATGCAAAAACGAAATCATACCTTCGACGAGCACTTGAAGATCATTTCCTTTTGTGAAAAATCTCGGATATATCAGAGGTTGACCCCAAACCGGATGAGTATTATTCAGCAACAAGTATCCTCTGCTCTTTGGTTTCAACAGAATCGGTCTGACATTAATGGCTTCATAATAGGAAACCGGAGACATCCCCATTGCCGTCGCGTTGGCAGGATCAAGAATCCAGTCTTTCGCATTTCCGTTGTCGAACGCATAATTTATATCTGGTAGATCCAAAGAGTGTTCATATCTGTCGAAAAACATTGGTAAATCACTTTTAAATCCACCGTGCAATTATTGTGATTAAATCATAATTAATGTTTAGGAATTTATCGAGTAACGAGACTAATAGTGTATGTCTAATGCACCAGATAAGGATGAACATTAATGGAAAATACCTTTCCAGCAAATGACACTAGAATTTTTGGAATTTAGCATGCATAGCCAGCAAAAGAGAATTCGTATTGTATGGTTGACGTTGAATTAGAAGATTTTGTAGTGATTTTATTAAAAAAAAAATCTGCTTAACAATACACAGTGAAATAGTTGCTTTCTAATTATAAATTACGACGTGGTCTTTAAACTAGGCACTCTGCTTACACGATTTGTAAAATGAAATAGTGATATTAAAACAAAAAAAAAACACTACTCATAGTTGCGGACATTATTTGGATAAATATAATTGTTTTTTAATTTATAAAAAACGGGTCGTTCTAAACTTTTATTCTTAGTTCGGATAATTTTTGCACGACAGTCAATAATAATTATTAGCGAATACAAATTTAAAGATTTCATAAAACGTTTCACTGTGTATTGAAAACATACGGCATGTACGTTAAGTTGCGTACACAAACGCCTTAAGTCTACAACGGTATTGACAAAACGTACTTGGTTTGAATGAAAGCACCGCACTGCAACGGGCCGGTGGCGGCCAAAGGACCTTTCCTCTTGTGTTTATACAAAAGGGCGTCTTTTTTTTTCTCTTTCAACGGCTTGTCGGTGGCGGTCTTCTTCACTCTGATGACCACGCCGTCGGCCGTGACGTGGTCTTGTAGGTTCCTACCGACCGGCAAGTCCTTCACCACTTTAATGTTCATTTCCTTCAAATGGCGTTTGGGTCCGACACCGGACAGCATTAGTATCTTCGGCGAGTTCAACGAGCCGGCGCTCAGGATCACTTCTTTTCTCACGTAAGCCTTGCGCATCTTCTTCTTGAACAGATACTCCACTCCCACCGCGTGCTTGTTGTCGACGATCACCCTTGTGACGTGTGCGTCGGTCAGAACCGTTAGGTTTTTCCGTTTTTTCCTTATGGGCCGTATGAACGCTGTGTTTGTGCTCATCCGCTGACCGTGTCTGGCCGTGGACTGCAGATGAGTGACTCCAATTTGGGAATGGCCGTTCACGTCCACGTATGGCAAGCCGAATTCTTTCCAAGCCTATACAAACCCGTGTCGATAAAATAAAAACCAACTCTTTCTGAACTCCACGTCGAAGTGAAAATAACGTAATTTTATATTACAACCTTAATGGATGACAAATAAAATTGATTAACTTATAGTTGCCCAACGAGCATTGAAAAAGCGGATATAAAAGTACTAGTCGCTTGTCGCACGATCTTGTGGCGCTCTCTATCTTTAATCGAGGGCAGGAGTAAACTTTCTTATCTAAATCAATGAATTGTGGAAAAAATAAAAAATTTAAATGTCTCCTTGGTCAACTTTCGTCAAAATATTGCTTAACCTTTGCTCCTTAATAAAAAGTCACAATGATTTCTGTTTTCCGTGAAATGTTTTCAATGGCTTACAACTTTTTTACTAATACATTTTTCAATAACTTATAACATTGCGTTAGTGACGTGACATAATTCCAAACTATCCAAAAAAAAAAATCAAATTTCTGGTTTTAAAATTTAATTTTTGGTATTGAAATGCAAATTTATTACAAAAATATGTATTCTACAGCATAGTCTACATAAATTCAAAAAATATTTTTTCTATAATTCGGATTTGCTTTTAGTTGTGTGAGTATACCTACTTGTATTAAAGCGACGGCGGTCGCGTCCACGTAGGGAAACCATTCGACGGTCAGATACCCTCCTTTGCCGTGATAATGAGGATTCTTCTTGTAAACCTCTGGATCTTCGTTGTCCTCTGACTTCTTAAAGTAATAAAGTGCCTCGCCGTATCCCCATCCTACCGAAACCATAGCAAAACAACTGTTGTAACAATAATTCACTGTCTTGACTGGAAAGTACTATTACTAGTTACCATAGTTTCCCATTTCTTCCCATTCGTTATAGTCTTCCATGTTACCTCGTGTGTAAATCATATAGTTTATCGTACTAGAACCACCCATGACTTTACCTCTAGCCCAATTGCACGCACCACCCGGTCTGGAACGGCACGTGTGCTTGTCGGGTTGGGTCGTATAGTTCCAATCGATTCTGCTATTCAACTGCAAAGGAGCCAGACCGGGTACCGAAGAAAATTCTGGTTCTTCGATGCCGGCTTCCAATAGCAATACCTAATAATGGAACAAAAAAAATATTTAAAACATATGAGCAAACGCCCTAATTAAAAAAATATAATACCACACCTTTCTTTCGTGCCGAACGGTTTGTAAATAAAACGATTTAAGCGCAATAGTAAAATGAAATAGAACTATAGTCCATCAATGAATATATTATGATGGTGATTTCTATGTAGAGCCGAGCAAGTGTAATAATATGATGTGCGGTTGTGTCGACTTGTTAGAAGAAGTACTTCGGAGAGGAAAAATTAAAAAAAAAATCACACTTTTCTAAATACCTACTTTGAATCGGGAAATTTAAAACCCTCGTGGTTTAAAAGTTTAAAGTATTTTTTACCAATAAAACTATATCGATGAGATGCACTTGTGTTTTAATATTTTTTCAAAGCAGTTTTCGCATTCCAAAGTCACTTATTGTTCAAGCTGTACTGCAGTATGAAATTTACTATTGATCTATTCATGTTTTTACAAATCATGAACATCCCATGCATAACGTCTATAATACTTTAAACGATTAAGTATAGATCCAAACAAGAAATTAAGTGTCCTGTACGACGAAAGTTGTTTAAAGATCTTCGGTATGATGTTTTTATTAAGTAAATCTCTTAAAAGAATACCGATCGGCCGCGATTTTCTTCTTCGAAAACATTCAGTTACTTACTACGTTTCGTCATGAGTATTCATGCCAATAAATATAATATTATATTAAAGTTACTTGTTTACTCGTATAATGTCTGTATATATATATATATATATATATATATATTATATTATTTAAGAACGTATCGATTCACAAATGTGCACAAATTACTATAGATGTAAATAAACATATTATCTATGTGTGTGCTACAACTTACAAGGCGTGTAAATTACCATAACTATATAGGCGGCGTCAAGGAAATTAACAGCGTGGTGCGTTTTTTAACAAAAATAAAGAATAACAAGCCTATTTCCGCAGTTTTACTTAATACAATGTGTATCACTGATCGTTGTGCTCAAAGTCGTGCATCATTCGAATAAAACGTTATCTAAATAATCATCTAGATAACACATTATTCAAGTAAAAGTTATTCGAATAATTCCAAACATATTATTGAAATAGTGTGTGTAAGTGTTTTATTTAAATTATTTTTTAAAACATAATTTGGTATAAATATAATATATACTTCATTAAGAAAATGTATATGAAAACTGTATCCTAAAGTGGTCTATAAAAAGTCGATTCTGAAATTTAAACCTTTCTCTTGTTTGAAAATAACCCAAAAAAATAACCAAAATACATTTATTTTTCGTTAAATTTTCTAGCAGAAATTTTGACAGGTGTGAACTTTTATGTACTGGCGTACGTGTTCAGCAGACTCTAAGCTTTAAAACCATCAAAATTTCCACTTAAACTAACGAGTAGGAAAAAAAGTATGCATCGATTTGTGCACAAGTGTCGAGATCCTATGTTAAATCCCATTTAAACTTCAGCCCTTGTGGGGGGGCACGGGTTGAATTTAAAGTTTTTCAAATTTACGGTTTTTTGATCTAATTTGTTTATTGTATTTTAGAACCACTCTTCTGTACATACAGGAAAACAATAACGAGGCATTCGAATAATTTGTGAAAAAATTGTCGGAATAACGTTTTATTCGAAAAAGAATTTGCACAACTCTGGTTGTGCTCAAGCGGTGGTGGCGGCGGTGGTTCTAAATAAAAAAAAATCTTACGTTTTTTTTTTTTTTTACAGTGTATGTGTGTACGGTTGTATTTAAATAGTCAATAGCTGGTAATTGAACCGGCGCATACCTGGCACGCAGTAATAATTATCAAGTATACGCGTTTACCAAACTGTGAAAACGGTGCGCATTTTCCCATCGAACAAACTAGATTCGCCATACCTTCCAGTGTTTGACTTCTGTCAGCCTGTTGGCCAGGACGCAACCCGCCGACCCGGCGCCGACCACGACGAAATCGTACTCCTCCGGCTCTCCGGCAGCAGCTCTTTTCCGTCGCCTTTTATTCTGGAAAACCGACATAATTGATTCATCGAACACGTGTTCATAACCGGCCAGAAAGTGTTCGGGCTCCGGTGCCGAATAATATTCGGACCGCTGCTGTGGTAGTGGTAGTACATGTTTCGCTGGAGACTTGGTGGCCGGTCCGTCCACGGTGTAGCCGAACAGGTGCATGAGAAACCGCAGGAACACAAAGTTTTCCGTATGGCAGGCCTGCAGCGGCTTCTTCATTTGCACGCACATGCCCGTCACATCCTTGGGCGTGAACGGCGTCGAGTAGTGTTTAGTCATGTTGTCCGTTCGCCAGCGATCCCGTATCAGATTGAATTCCGCACTTCTAGCTGTTCCGGAGAAGCTAAAAGTATAAAAAAAAAACATCTAAGATTCCCCCCTTCTGAACGATATTATCTTAAATTAAAATGTTTACATAACTGTGGCACTGGACGCTAATCTGTGTTGATCAAATGTAAACTCAAATACCCGAAAATTCTGTCATTTTCTGATTCAGAAATTCGGATTTCCGGATTTAAAAATCCGGGTTGGTGTAACAACAACACTATTATATAACATCTTTAAATGTCGATTTTATATTTTATTGTTATTAATGCAAGGCAGTTGTGATCTGTGATCAGGACTTGACCCAAATGAACAGAAACCCTGCCAACATCCCAGGATTCATAAACCTAAGCATTACCGTTTAAAATGCAATTACCTTTGACCAGTTGAAAATATGTCACTTAAAACCAGAGTTTGATATTAATCCGATAAACGTTTCAAAAATAAATTCACCACTCAAAAATGTACTGTTATTTCATTATTTATCCATCCGTTTAATCACGACTAAATCAACTATTTTTCAATTATAATTAAATTATCCAAATATCTACGATACATTTTTGGCTTTTATAAATTAGTAGCTACAAATAATTATTTGGATACTAAAAACGTATTTATTTATTGCATAAATGTATTAAAATGAGCTCTATTGAATATAATACATATTTAATTTTGCAATACATTTTTCTATAAAATAATTATTTTTTAACTAAAAAAGTTTTGATAAAAATCTTTATTATATTATGTTATAAAAATCAGATATTGGTATTTCAAGGTTAGGTTAGGGTGTAGGTCTTAAATAATAAGTAAAACAATTAAAGTTAAAATAAAATACTTTGTTATTTATACGCCTTTAAATTAAAGTTATTTTTTTTTACTTATGATTACATTTATTTATAACTCAAGTTGAATCTTCAATCTTGAATACATATATTCGTAAAAAAAGATTGAATAAATCGAGATCTTAAGGCTGAAATTTTGAAGATTTTACGTTTTTTATAAATAAAAATATAAGTGATTTATAAGATTTAAAATAAAATACTAAACATGTATTGGCAAATTCAATTTCTATGGTACATTTTTGGTTTTTTTTAACGTACCTATTGTGTTTAGTACTTATTTTATTTTTAAACAGAGCACTGTAATGTGTAGTTTTGTAACAGAAAATATCAGAGAAAAGTTTTTCGGTTGAATAAGTGTTTTCCTATGTCCAATTCGATCACGCTCTCCCTATACAAATAAGCGTTAGCAGATTGAGTAATGATAATTTTTTCGTGAAAGCTGAAAATACAACAACTAACTCGAATTTCGCTGCAGAGTTTTATAAGTTTTTATATTTTTAACAGTGCGTGTACTGTGTACAGAGTATTGAAGCAACCAAAAATAAGTTTAAACGTTATATTATTATATTAGACAATTTCGCATATGATTTTGTAAAATGTGAACGTTTCAGTTTGACTATTTCCATAATACCTAAATAAATTTTTGTAATATCATCACTGTAAAACAAATTTAATTTTTTGAGTTTTAAAAATATTATTTTATTCCTTCAAATTTTAAATTCACACTTAATTAGGTAAAACTATAAAACATTTTTGACTTATTTCATCAAACATAGAAACTAAACAGCTCTCAAACACAAATCGATTAGAATAAATTGTATCATTTACAACTTCAGCGCATATATTAAAATTATTCCTGGGAATTTACATTTTATTTTACTACATTAAGATCCGTCTTGATGAACTAATGGAAATAAAAATGGAACAATTAGTCAATTATACTAAAGTTTTTGAAAATAATTAACACCTTCTTCCCTTGGACACACTACTTGGTTAGTTGAACCTGAGCAACCAAATTTCAACTATTACTTTATTCTTAATAGAACATTTTATCATACAGCGCCAAAACGTTTAACAAAATGCTTGATTTAAGTCATGAAAATACTTCTAAGTTTGATTAATTTTCATGCTATTTCTCAGTAAGTACAGTTGAATTCTTGTAAGTACTTGTATATAATTTGTTTAATAAGAAATGTTTCAAATGTGATTGATAATAACATAAACCATTATTAATGGATATTTCTATTTGTTCTGCTTAAAACATATTTTTTTAATTTTTTTTAAACTAAATTAAATTAACAAAAATAACTGAAAAACATTTATTTATTCAAACTTCAAGTAAGAGTGTAAGTTAAATTCAATTTATTTAAAAAACATTTTATTTCTCAAACAAGTTCTTTAATTTTGGTAATTTTTAGTTGAACTTAACTTTTTAAATTAAATGTAATTAAGTAATTGAAAATAGTTTTTTTAAACGTTTCACATTGTAAATGTAAGTTATAACTGGTGTTATTAAATTTATAATTTTAATAATTTTTTTTTTTTTATTAACAAATCTGCAAAGTCTATGCCAAACGTTAAAACTAATATAAGATAGTTAATTTTATAAAAATAAAATAAATACCTGGTCTATTAATAACGTTTTTATATCCTCCATCGTCTTATGTCGAAATCACTGTGGTCTTTGATAATTATAAAATACAATATCACACTTGTATAAAATAAATACTATTTTTATCAACATATAACCAACGACCGTTCGGTAAATACACAAAAACGATCAATGTTGGACGACAAACACAACATGAGATAAAACGTTCCACATGATCTATTCGATTAGCAATTGGTTGGCAATTGAACATTTTAGTGTTACTGAGCCAAGCGTGATATCGCTGTACTTCCCTCCAGCAGCGAAAAAACGCGCAACTGGCCTGACGTCTGGAAATTGGCTTGTATCATAACCTAGTTACTAGTTTTGGTATTAAACAAAATTTTAAAAAAAGGTTTTCTTTATTATTTAATTTCTCAGCAAAGATGATCATCGTGCCTAAGTTGTTCTGTAAATATTATTCTAATTCTGTTGTCGTTTCACAAATTTGGTGTACTGTAAACCGAAAAAAAAAAATTAAATAAATAAACTGAAAAACGCACAAACTCAAACAAATAAGATCTCTCTAATTGTTAAGTCCTACCAAGTCTTCAACTAAAAGGTCTCAAAATTATGGCTAAGAAAACACAATAAACAAAACAACTTTTTATTAGTGAAAAAATGACATTTTTCATTTTTACCCCTTCCTCAAACTACTAAATAGACAAAAATTTTGTTTTATAAAATTAATATTTAAAGAAATTGGTCCAGTATTACAAAATTTGTAGTGTTTACTGACTAACAAATAGAATCACACGTCATCAGCGCCGCATCGAAGCTACAATTGAACAAATTTAACGGTTCATTAAAATGCAACAGACCAAACGAGGACTATTAAATGCAGTTAAAGGAACTACTACAACTAATAATAATAATAATAATAATAATTTGTAATGATTCGTTAAACACTTAATGATGATCGTTCATGCAACACGGCAAAAGTATTCTAAAACCTAAAACGTTAGTATTATTCAATAGAAAGTGACATTAATTATTCAAAGGCGTTTAGTGTATTCGTTTTTGGTGTGGTATTTCATATAATATAAATATATAACAGTTTGTAACATAACATATAAACTTACTACTATGAAAAAGTTGTTTAGTTTATGCAATGCATTTATATTGTAAGTTATCAAAAAAAAATCTCCATACACTGTTAAACATGTTATAAAAAAACATTGTAGTATTATATATTGTATGTAAGGCAAAAAGATTAAATTAATAAAGGAAAAGCACGCCATGTACTTTCTTATATCGTTAATTTTCCAAGGATTAGTGTTTCAATCTTAAAAATAGTATTATTCGATCATAAAGTGTTTATTGTGTATTCAATAAATATACTATATTGTATTCAAGACATAATATTGTCAATACGGTTATTTCATCTAGATATGTCTTATTTCTAGGAGAGTTTATACTTGAACTGATCAGCAACCTTACCATTAGTTTTGCCGTAACTAAGAGTCTAAAGGTGGTTTCTTCGGAATTTGTGTAAATAAGAATGGAGAAAAGTGTAATTTTTAGGTTCAAAAACAATGACTTACGATTAGGTACAAACAAAGTAATCGTGTCATGTTACATATTAAGTTAAAGACAACGTCTTAAGGTACAGTTGTACGTGTACATGACGGCCATAATTAGATTTCTATTGGGAGGTTATGTGCGAGAAGAACGAGTTACGAATTGTCTGTGAAGATATTGTATAGAATGATACAGTAAATTAAATTGTCAGGCGTATCGATTTAAGAAAAAACCAAAAATTCTCTACTGTTTGTCATACCGTACAAAACAATATAATAACAGTCGAACAATAGTATTAGTATTTAAATAAACACCATTTCCAATCCATATTTTTTGCACTATCAAAACAGAAACCAGGAATAAAAAAAGCTGTCATCCCATAACAACTGTAATTATTTTAATCGTACCAACAATTTTACAACAACAATACAGAAACAATCGACATTTCAAAACATAACATCACTTAGAAGTAGAAAAAAATTTGTTGATTTACCGCCTGACTATTCGAATAGAAGACGTGAAATAAAAATAAATATTTCTCCATGCAAAACTATGAAAAGTGAAATGACCGAAATGTGTTTGCAAGCTAATATTTGTACAAGAAAATTACATTGAATTTTTTAAAAATAAAAATAAAACAGCTTGAATAACCTCAAAATAATTAAACACTTAAAGTGACAAAGTAAAAGTTAATTGTAACTGGTAGATAGTATGTTTTTGTTATTATCTCAATTTTTATATTTTTTATATTTTATTCGTTCGTGTAAAAACGAGAAATTTCAATATATTATGAAATTAAAATTGTATAAATATAATTGTATGTGCAAAAGTATTTTATAAAATATACATAGGTAAATAACATTTTTTGCTTATAATAATTAAGTGGTTAGAAGAAGAGAAGTACATGTATAGGTAAGTACGTTAAAGTTTATCAATTTCTTATTCAACGACTGAAAAAAAATTCATTGAAATATTACCTACTCCATCGATACTTATAGTTATGATAAAATATGTAATAATAATATTATGGTGTGCGGACACTTTTTCTTTAATACAATATTATTTTGTATTAGATCACGTTTGTTTGAGGATTTTTTTTAACTTACCTACATATATATATATTTATATACATTTACTCAGTGACAATTGCATTATAGATTACACAGATAATATATATGTACATGATATTGTTTTAGATAATATTATTTACACAATATAATGGTTGTGTAACTCTTTGTGGTATCAAACACAAACCGGAAATTCTACATTTTTTTTTTTTTTGGTTGTCGAATTATTAATATTATTATTGTTTTTTTATTTTAAAATAACATAAAGGTATTGTTGAAGATTTGTTACCGAATTTATATTTTTTTTCGAATATTATTTCATTTAAAAAAATTATAATTTAAATATGTAAATATGTATTTAATTATTTGTATTGACAAAATAATTTTAGCTTATTTTGTTTATATTACCTGTTTTAGCAAGAAATTAAATATTGTTACATTGTTGGAAAGTTATAAATTAGGAAATAACATATTTTAAATAGCACCCAATAATTATTTATACTAAAATATAATTTTACATATTATCCAATGAATATTATTATTAAAATGTTGACCACGGGGGACACGTTTGATACGAAACCTCAATTCAGAAAATATATTATTGATACTTAAAAATTGCTTTGTGGGTAAATGGTAACATGCTTTATTTTGTATTTTTTTTTCGCACGTACATATGTATAATTGTGTAATGCGCAGTATTGTATTATTTCAAACCTTAAACAATTAAATCGTTAACCGCTGGTAAAACGAACATTTTGAAAACAGCAATGTGTACGTAATATTGTGTTAAGCAACGCACTTAAGTAATCCAAAATCAAAGTACACATGGCATTCTAGGTACATTTTTTTTTGGTTCAGTTTAAGTTCAGATGAAACCTATAAATCAGCAAACGTTGTCGATATGGATGAACAGTTGTTGCGGTGAAATACGCATGAAATTAACTTCTGCAGCCAACCTTGATGAAAACTACAATAATATATCATTATTATTATTATTAGTCATCGGTATTATGTCCAATAATGTAACTTACAGTAACCAACACCTATGCAACACCTATAAAATGTAATAATATTGTATCGTTTAGTCGTGAAAAAAATGTTTTTATTTTTTTGAAAACAAACAATCTGTAATTTCATTCACAATAAGCATGTATGCGGAAGTAAGATCTATTTGACATGAAACATGTGAGAGAAGTAGCCACCCAATGGCGACACTTCTATGTAAGTGCTTTGGTTAATTATGATTTACGTCACGACACCATCTTCTGTGAAAAAAATGTGAATTTTATTTTTTAATTGCAATATTTTCGTTGACTGAAATAATATACATCAAGCTCCATCTTTTTACAAATTCATTGTTTTACATCAGGGATAAATCCTGACACCATTAACAGAAGCACATTAATAAAAAAAATTAAGTAGATATTCCAAACCTAAGTGAAATCTTCCAATATTACCTTAAATATTCCAATATTTACCTTAAATACATAATTTTACTCAATTAACTCATAACATGTATATACATGACTTATTGATTTCAGGTTCTACCTGAAACCTGAAATCAATACCTGAAGTAAACCTGAAATCAATAAGTCATGTATATACATGTTATGAGTTAATTGAGTAAAATTATGTATTTAAGGTAAATATTGGATTATTTAAGGTAATATTGGAAGATTTCACTTAGGTTTGGAATATCTACTTAATTTTTTTTACCTAAACCTGATTTCAGTTTTATATTGGATACATTTTTTTAAGTTAGGTTCACTACATTTATTGTCCACTATAAATTTTGGTCTAGAATTTAAAACTCCAACAATACAAAAAAGTTCGAAAAAACAAATCTAAAATTAAATATTTTAAAAACATTGTCTATTAGGTAAATTATATTGATGAATAAATCACTATAACATTTACTGATTACAAATTTTAACATAATACGAATATAAAACATTAGCTTAATTTTTTTTTAAATTTTTATGATTTAACGTTTCAATAAACTAAACCTACCTTATTATATTAATGGAAACTTGCAAAATTCTAAAAATGCTGCATGATTCCATTTTTTGTTTTTAATAAAAGAACCCTAGATTAATTTACGTGCCAAATTTTTCATTTGAGAAAAAATAGATAGCGATTACAAATTAAAATAAATTGCTCATTGGACAAGGGGCGTCCATGTTACAACTCAACATATACCTATATTATACATTTTTTCATCTAAACAATTTGTTTTTATTAATAATTTTACTAAATTAAAATATGTAATACAAATGTATTTATTGTATATATATATATATATATATATGAAAACAACGGAAATTATTTAATTACTACCTATTAGTTTATATCAAAATAAAATGTATAAGTTATGAAATAACAAACAATTATTTACAATAAAAAACTGAAGAGCTATTGTACTAGGTACTCTTTTTCCCAACAAATAAAAACGGTTTGTGTTATGTCACTTTTTTGTTTTACTTTTTCATTTTGAAGCCATTCATAATACACTAACCTAACCTAACCTAATGTAAATAAGCGAAGCAAAACGTAGCTACGACAATGTTTTTTTTATTTACACGTGGATTTTGAATGTAGAACGAAACGAACAGTTGTCACATCGATTGTTTTGCTCGTTAACACAAAACATAATAATATATAAATATATAATAAATAATTAAATCAAAGTATATAGATATCACAAATTTGACTTGGGACTAAACACTTTGTAAATATTTAGCTAACGATTCGAATTGCGACACTTGAGCATTAGCGAGTAATTATAACAATGATGAAATGTTTAAATACAATGTAGGACACCTTACAGTGAACTAATTTGTTTCGGATCGGTAGTCACTATTTTTTTTTTTTTTTATAACAACCGAACGCCACACTTGATCGTTTTGTTTTCACCCGGTCGTGTTGAAACGTGTAGGTCTCGTATCAAGGTCCTAGACAGGTCGTCCGGTGCCTAGACGGTTGTACAATGCGCATAGTTAATTATTTGTTCGTTAGCCCGATGATGGCGGCAGTCAGTTTTTCCTAAACGCGGCCCACGTCTCCTTTACCATGTCCGACCCTTTTTCGGCCACCATTATCACCGGCGCTATGGGGTTGCAGTTGGGTCCCGTGGGGAAAACCGAAGCGTCCATCACCCGCAGGTTAGGTATTCCCAGCACCCTGAGCTCCGGATCGACCACGGTTTCGGGATGCCACGAAGGTCCCATCTTGCACGTGCCCGAATGATGGTTTTCCGCTTTGGTGGCGGTGACGGCCACGCAAGCCCAATAAGGGTCGGTGCCGTGAGGGTAGTGTTCGCAACCCGGCTCCGGGGTGGGGTCCACCTGCATGTCCCATTTCCTGAGCGCCTGCGACTTGATCATCTTGAGCACGATCTTGATGCTGTCAACCATTCCCAGCACGTCCCGGTAGTCTTGGAAGTAGTTGGGCTGGATAATCGGGTCGTCGAACGGGTTGGCCGTGCGCAGAGCTATGTACCCTCTGCTTTTGGTCAACAGGTAAGTGGGCCGGGCCCAGACGAACGGTCGGGTTTCCTCGGCCCTGAAAGCCGGCGAATCGGCATCTACCAACACTTTTTCGCAGTTCGGCGCCAGTCCGTCAAAGTACAGTTGAGCATCGGGAATCTGAAATCATATTCATACTTCAAATAAGGCACATCGAAAATCTTAGGGTAATACAGAGGAGTGGCTCCAACAAAATATTGATTGATTCGACAAGGGTTGCAATGTTCAGTGCAGCCACTTTAGAGAAAACAATTTCTATACGTTTAGGTTTGGAATATATCGGGTGTATCACGATGGTCGGACGCGTAAATGTTTCACACTCATCACTCTCGTCAGTCATCACTAATATTCTCTCCGGCTGAACGAATCAGATCATCGTGATACGCCCTGTATGCATACAAAACTAACACCGTCTTCTGCGTAAGTGGTGGTCAGGAACCCTGTTGTCTGGGTCAGTCCAGTGCTAGCCAAAGGTCCGGTTCGGTTGCTGATGAACTCCGATACGGCGTCCATGGACAGGTGGTATTCGTGGTCGGACGCGTTGACGGTGGCAGCAATGCTAACGGATACGTGATGTTGTAGGTTGCGACCGACCGGCAAGTCCTTGAACACCGTCACGCCGGCCCTGAGCAGATCTTCGGCCGGTCCTATGCCGGAAACCATGAGCAAGTGTGGAGATCCTACGACACCGGCCGACAGGATGACTTCCTTCCTGGCTCGGACCATGTGCTCGCCGTTTTCATCCACGTATTTGACGCCCTGCACTCGGTTGTTGAACTTGTTTAATACCAGTCCGGTAACACGGCTGTTGATTTTCACGTACAGGTTTTTCCTGTCGTTGGCCGGTCGCAAGAATGCCCGCGAGGTGCTCATCCTCAAGCCGTGTTCCATCATGACTTGCGCAATCGCAAAACCTAAAATCAACATTTATCTCGGTCAAAATAATTATCAACAATTATATCCTAACGGCTTTGAATTTACTCCACGATAAAAGCAAGTCCACTAAAGGTTGACTATACCGTCAGCCGATCAAGAAGATTCTCTATTGAACGAGATTTGTTTCAAACGCAAAGCGCTTAAATCTCAAGCTGCTTCCACACTATGCCGTTGAATGTCATTTGACAAGGCCAGTTGACGCGTGCACACTATTACTATTCGTTCTTATTAGCTTTATTTAAATAGGACCTACACTCGAGCGATATCAGTCTGAATGCGGCTTTTGTCAAATGGCATTTAGCGAGATAGTGTGAATGCAGTTTTAGTAACATGCAAATAAACATATTGTCTACGTTTTGGAATGCCTTATCAAAATTATGAAGACCTCAGATGACTCATGTTTTGGTTTATTCCAATCCAACTTAAGTTTATGTTCCAGTTTGAACACTTCTAAGAGCTCCCAATTTTAATCCTAGGAGTGTGCATTCAGATTGAAATGAGAGTTTTCCTAGGACTCTATTCAAAGTTTCATAGGAGTGTCATCGTACGCTTTATGTGCTACTAGGTAAGGTTAGATAACTGAGACAGTCCATCGATAGTAATGGAATATAAATACCATTATATTATCTTAATCTGAATCTAAGCATAGATAATATGATCAAAACAAAAGTGATCATAAAGCCAGAAACAAAAACGAGAGTTACCTGTTTGTATCACCTAATAGTGTCATATTTTTTCTCGCATGCTAACCATTAACTTATCTATTACACCCAATCAAAGTTTTATGATTTAATAAGATATTAGACAGACGGGGAGATGTGAAAACTGTCTACTGGAAAGCGTTGTCTATAAGCAAATAGTTATATGGCTAGATGAGAATAATAGTTACCAGAATGCTAACTGGTAACGATGAACTGTTAATCCCTTGAACATGGTCCGACGACCATTGTCATGGTCTGAATGTATATTGGCTTAAACCGTGTATTAAAATGTATGCAAATTATATTATTTGATTGCTTGGGAGCCTGTGACTACAGGTACTTATGACGGATTGTCATTTTTTTAACCACTGCCCAGTAATATATAATATATTTATGGTCAACACTCCACATGGAATCTAACAAAAACGCTGTTATGCGACATCAACTAAACGGTTGGGAATCCATGAAAAAGTGATAAACACATTACAGGAAAAAAAATAATTGAGCGAGGATAATTCTGGCTCGTTTTGCTGGTGGACATCTACAGTTTTCAATAGGAAATTGACTATTCTAGCGAAACTCAGAGTACGCTGTTGTTATATTAACACTACCGAAAGAGTTGTCCAGAAGTAAAAGGTTCCAACCACTACAATAGATGCAATAAATGAATGTACCTATACACTTTACTTATTCCTGGGACGAAATTTGAAATTGATCAAAAACGAAAAGGCCAAACCTCGAAAAAAAATAAGTATTTTTACGCTGTGGGTACGGATTGTTTTTTGAAAAAAAATAATTAAACATTTTTATAAACCGAAAAGAATACAAAAAAAAAAAGTTTTGGTATGTTATTATTTAGGTTTTCTTTCACACCTATTATCGTGTCGACCTTCAACCGACGTTTTCCTTCCGTTTTGACGGACTTAAACGGTAACAGCTTCTATAAAAAAAATATGTAATGGTTTCAGCGTTCAATTATTGACAAATCAAAGCCGGTTTTTGTAGTGCACTGTATGCTGTGCGTGTATGTATGTATGTATGTATGTGTTATTACTATTATGGATAATATTTTATTGTATGTTCTATTTGTATTATTGTATTCGCGCGCGCCGCAAAGGTGTGCAATCGACCCGTCGATATTTCACCTCTACATGCTTAGGACAAAAAATATAATAAATATTATACAAAACTATAACTGGTATTATGTTTTTTCAATATGCCTATACCGCGGTACAGTTTCCACATTCCAATTCGTCGTACTTTATTGCAATTTCTATCATTCGTTTAAGTCACAACAACACACCTACACACTCGATCGATGGTCTGCACAAAACGCGTTTAGACCGAGCTTGTCAGTCCGATTAATTTATATTATTATACATGACCATGACAATATCGACTGAAACCAATCGGTTCTTCTACAGTAGATACAAAATACCGCCGAAGACCGAAATACTCGTGCCGAAATACCGAAAGAAGTTGTGATGTGACCCGTGAACATAAGGACTAAAGTCAGTCTGCCTAGTTAGAAGAAAAAAAAACAAAAATATTTCAAGATAAGGGGTAAAAGCTCATTTCATCTTAAAGACTATCAGCCGCTCAGCAACGAAGACTCACTATACTTTTGTGTGGTCATACTGGTTTTAGTGCTTCAGTTTACTTCACAAAAGTATACAAGCTATTATAATATGTTATTTCATATCTTTATATTATTACTGTATGCTTAAGAATATTATTTTTAAAATAATGCGAAACCGGCATGGTATTTTTGTCCATTACTGAATTGACAGATGAGAAAAAATGTCTTCCATCTCTATGCGTAACACAACACATTACCCATGTAATAAACACAATAATATAATATGTAACATCATAATTATCGAAACGTTGCTAGTATAAATGTATGGTACGACGGAGTAGACTAGTTTACATCATAATATTTAACAAGTGTATTATCACCTATATACAATAGACATAACCTAACATTGGCAAGGAAACATATAAAATTATGGCTAATTTTGAATAAATTATATGAATTAGTTGCTTAATTTTTACACGTCAAAAAATGTAAGTATCAAATGTTTTGTATGTATAAGTAAGTGTCCAGTAAAACGGGTTTTTTACTGCCACAGTTTGAAGCCTATTCATTATAAATCCCTCATTTTCATTGATGTCTTTTAGTTTCATTTTTAATTTCCCAAATAAAAATAGACATTAATTTTGGTAATAACTCACTGGGAAACCAATTTTAATTATATAATAGTTTTTTTTTTTATTGAAATAATAGCTTATAACTATTTATTTCTACAATTAATTATATAATGGTTATAACATTTAATGAACATAGACTTATTTTGTTTATCTGGCACGCCTATAAATATCTTTTTTAAAAGTATATTCAGTACACAACTCTTTAGCCATGCAGTGCTTTTGTCTAACTTTATTCAATAGCAACAAGGCAATACCTACAAATAAAAAGCATCAAACCAATATGACTCTAAAAAATTGAAGTTTTAAACAATTTTAAACTTAAAAAATGTCGGCTCTCTAAAAAAATGTACAAATTTAAATTTATGTATTAAATTCTAAGGTTTAGTTACATATCTACTCGTTATATTTACTTATTTCAAAAAAATGTCAAGTACTTTTGAAATATTTTCGATTAATAGGTGCTATGGTAAATAATAATAATAATAATATATAATTGTAATACTTGCAAATATGTTTCAAACAAATGTTAATAATATAATCAATTACCTTTTGTATAGTAAGAAATATATAGTTTCTAATTTAAAATACTTTTCTATTCGCTATTTAAAGCAAAATGATACTCTAGTTAAACAACATAAAGCAATTTAATTATTCTAAATAAATAAATGTTTTTTTATAACTGCTAAGTTATTACGCTGTGTTATAATTTATAATCACATTTATTCGGGGTTTTTAAACATTAATATCCATTATTGTATTTTACACTAACCATCATAATATATCAGTAGGACCTCTCTATAGTAGTAAATAACAGAATTCGAAACTCAAAATAATATAGCCATGTAACAGTTAATGTTGTTGAGTTGTAATTGCCTAGGGCAAAAGATTAATGAAAAAAAATGTATAGTTTCCTACCATAAGACATCATAAGTATGATTTTTTGATATTAAATGAAACTAAAGAACAATTGAAAATATGTTATCATATAATAGCTTCCGTATTAAAATATTTTGTTTATAAATATCAATATTAATTTTATTATAATCTGTATTTAAACAATTGTTTTATATTTATTCTAATTTCCTAATATCTTATTACAATAATATATTTAAATATAAGTGCTGATATTGCTTAAATAGTCCATAGCTTAAACATTTATTTAAATAAAACTATTTAGTTCTACTACTAACATTATTTAAATTAAATCGTCTCGTTTTAAGATTTTCAATTGGGAATTTCCTCTGGAATCCTGTTTTGTGTTTTGAGGTTTTTAGGACAAATCAATAATTCTCTACCAGTTTTAGAGAACAGCAAGCGACGGTGTAATAGTAATCTAGTCTATTCTAACCTACGGTGGGTTGACAAAAAACTAGTATTTACAATTTAATCTAAAAAGTATCTATACAATAATCGACCAAAAATCAAACTGTCTGATTATTTGGTCAAACTACAACTGGTCAAAATTAAATAATTTTGTAAGTTTTTTGTAAAACTGGAATTTTTTTATGTAATACCAAACTGTTCAATTACTATTCAGTTCTTATAGTAATTAGATAGATGATACATTTTGATAAAGCGTTTTTAATTTAGAACATTTTATTAAATGAGTTTATTACAATAAATTTACAAAGCCGAAACATTTATAAAACCTAAACAAACGTATTAATAAAACATGACACTCAACTCTAAGCTGTTCGTAACTGGACCAGTTATGACTTTAAAGTAGGTACTGTAAAAATATTTATTCTATTTTTAATTAACGTTTATGTAAAAATCTTCTTTACAGAATATGCTATATACTTTTAAAACATTGAATAACTTTTCAATAATAACGCACACATATTGTTGTAAAATACATTATGTGGGTATAATTGTTTTTTGAAAATAATATATGTACAAAACATATTAAATTTATAGTATTAATAATTGATTTCTTATTAAAACATGATATTAGAATGTTTTAACGATATTCATGAATATTGTGACAAATATTATCTCTTAATCTTATTTGAATTTTAAAAAGAGTTTTATCGGCATTTTATAAAAATTTGTCATTTTTACTATATCCTACATAGAAATACAAATATTGTGCTTAATATTATGTTTTATGGAAAATATTTAATCAATTATAAAAGTATAATAATATACGTTTTGTTTGGCGTTTTTGAATACAATCTATTATCTACAAAGTAAAAATGTATAAAATTAATGTTTTATTTCCTGCCAATACATGATGTTTTAATGATTTTACTAAATTAAAAAATATTGTCATCATTTTTATGAAATATAGTGGAGTCTTAGTAAGTAAAATTTTAAGGGGAAACAAAAAAATTAAAAATAACTGCTGTGCGCAAACAACTGCCAAGTTGAAAAACTATTTTCGAAACATTAAAAACAGTTTTGTCAATATTTTAGTTTCTTTAAAGAAACTATTGCGTTTTGCCCGTATAGGGTTGCCCTAAAAAAATAATATCATAATAAACATACACAAGTCAAGTATACCTGTTTGATTGTGTCCGTTCAAGTCGCCGGATCTGTAACCCAACTCCTCGCCGGCTTTCACTATGGACTCGGCCATATCGGGACGGTGCGGGAACGTCTGCACGGCCACGGGACCGTCGAACCCGTGGTATTGCGGCTCCACGATGTCCCGGTTTCGGTTGGACTCGGTTTTCTTGAAGTAAGGAAGCACGTCGTCGTAGCCCCAACCGGTGATGCCGGCGTCGCGCCAACCGTCGTACATGAGCCGGTGGCCCCTCGAGTACATCATGCCGGTCATGGCGCCGGTGCCGCCCAGCATTTTGCCCCGGGGCCACGCGCACACGCCGCCGGCGTTTAGGCACGCAAACCGCTGTGGCTCGGTCAGGTACCGCCAGTCGAGTTCCGTGCCTAGGGCGGCCGTGGCGAACGCCGGCACCGACGTGGCGGTGGGCTCTTCGGGACCGGCCTCCAGCAGGCCCACCGTCCACTCGGGCACCTCGCTGAGCCTAGCGGCCACCACGGAGCCGGCCACGCCGCCGCCGACCACCACGAAGTCCAGTTCCTCGGCGTAGTACGGGCCCGTCGGCAACTTTCTGTCGCCGGCCCGCCGACAGGGATCGGCCAGCGAGCACTGCGACCGGACGATCAGGTCGACCAGCGACATGAAGAACGCCAGCGTGCCGGTGCTGCCGCACGACCTCGATAAGAACGAAGAGTCTTGGAACGAACACTCGCAGTTTTCGGAAGACATGGTCGCGCGCGCAGTAAAGGCCTGGACGTGCGGGTAGACGATGGCGAAAATTAAATAATAACTGCCCGGTTTTGCTTAGTCATTTCACGCGTAACCGAAGGCTTTGGAGATCGGTTCGGTACTGAAGTGGAAATCTGGTCTTGAAAAATCTAATACCAATACACCGACTTGGCGATACCCCGTGGCCGCCAATCAACTTTCTCTATTGTTTTTAAGAGCGCAGTGTGTATTTAGATAATAATCCGCCTTTATTGCCGGCATAAGAAAGTAAAAACGGAAATATTATTATTTTTTCACTTTTGTATAATACAGGGTGTTCTACAAACATTCGACAAGCTAAAAACTTTTGTTATAGAGAATATTTTCAAATTATTATTATTATTTTTTTTTTAAATTATACTCATTTGCGCTATAAACGCATCACGTTTATTATACGGCATTTAACTGTTTTAGTTTTTTTTTTTAATTCTAGATGACAATTTTATTAGGAACAATTTGCCGATAATTTTGACTGTCGGTTATCCAGAATAATTACTTTTTAAGTTATTAAAGGTTTAAAGGAAGTGGAGTTATTTTTATCTGCACGCATTACTCTACCGCACTCCACCTCCCACCCACTACTTAACAATTAAACGACTTTAAGAGTAACTATCCAAAACTAGATGTCCAAAGCAATACGGACTGTGGCGTTTATAGCGTAAATGAGTACTAATGAATTATTAGTAAAACCTTAGTTAAAGTTATTTCATTTGTCAAATGTTCGTGGGACACCCTGTATATCCGTCCCCGCACCGCCCTCTCCCCACGATGACGCTAATGCGACAAACCCGTTTTCGTCATTATGTCGATAAAGAAAATAGCGCATACAGGCGCCAAAAGAAAAATAATATGTACCCGCCCATTAGAAGAGAAACCCTTCTTATAGGTGAGGTTTGTTTTTTTTAAATGTATTTTCATTTTTTCAAACAAGATCGCAGTTCCGTTAGAGTAGAATTTAAAAGCGATAATTACACCGTTCGTTAAAACCCGCAGACGGATAGATATTTTATAATTATTACCTACAGAACGCATGTATGTATATTAATATTATACATAATATTATTCGTGTCTGCCAACAAAAACGCGAGCTTTCGTTTATTATGATAACTATATTTATAATAATTAGAAAACACGAAATCGTCAATTTAACACGCAACAATCTTAAAATTATATATATTTACAAAATAAATAATTATTAATTAAATTGTTTACAAACTTAACGTCGAAACGACCGTCGTCGTTTTCCACCGAAACCGTATATAGTGTTCCCTCTTCCAGAAACCAAAATAACGTGTGATTCCCTTTGTGGCTATATGGGATTGATTTGTCAAGTCATTGTATATTATTATTGTAGTTTTTCTATAAGACTGCGTACAATTATCAAGTAAAACGCGATAAAAAATTGTATTTTAATTCTGTAAAAAAACTATATACCTATTGTTACATTTAATTTCAAATTTCATTCACTCGATAGATATGTTTTATATCTATCAAGTTATACTTTTAATGCAGTTAGTAATTACTAATTATTATTATAATGTCTAAAGATTTAAAAAACAAAATACAGCGAATCCTTAGAGAAATTATACAAATACATACAATACACCTACCTACGATTTATTTTCTCATTTGCAACGCGCTGTGTTATTGTCACGCAATGTAAAATTTGAAAAATAAAGACTGACATCAAATGTGTCACATACATAAGTGTGCCCCTCACGCTGTGTTTAGCAAATGAAATTATCTTTGTTTCAGTCATTAATATAATTATCTTTGCCTACATACTTTTAATTTAGCACGAAAAATTGTTTAGAAGAAACACCACCTGAACCCTAATTGAAATATAAAAACATTTTGAAACATCACAAATTTATTTTAATAAATACCTAATTTTAAAAATAAATAAAACTTAACTCCTTCATTTTTAGAATTAGCAAATATATACAAAGTATACATTGCATTACAAAAATAATAGCATAAATTATAATAAAAATACTGTAGTCGCATTTTCGTTTAAACTTGATAGGCAGACTTAAAAAAAAGCAAATAGTATACAACTAATTGACAAATTTTAATTTTAAATTGATAAAAAATAATATCAGAAAACTGCATTGTTTTTAGATGTGAAAAGGAATCCATGTAAAAGCGAATGAATGATTCTGTTTTGGCAAAAAAGGGTAAAACCTATGAAACCCAAATATTTTCTAAATAAAAAGAAATAAACCTGTTTTCTTCAATGGTGAATATTTTCATAAACCAGGCGCTAAAATTAAACTCAACAATATTTGGAAATAATTTTTTTTTTTTAAACTATAGTATAAAAAGTAACGGTTTTTATCTCGTTTAACGGAAACGGAAGATTACATTTTAGTAGCTAATAAATAATTGGCTGAATAGTTAGACGTTTTCAACGGATAAAAAGGAATTTCCGGAAGTATAGGTATATACAGTTTTGGCGGAAAACGGGATTGGTTCTTTTAAATAACAATGTTTGGTCTTACTTTTACTTCGTATACGACTCAACTCGACAAGTACCCACCTATTCGATTGCCAACCCTAACAGTGAACGATTGTACTTGAACAAGTAGTTTACCACCATTTTTTGTACGTTTTCTTGGCGTATTTGGCTTCGAACGTCAACGTGTACGTTGACCAATCTTCTTTGATCATGTCGGCCGCCTTTTCCGCGATCATAATAGTCGGCGCGTTGGTGTTGCCGTTCACTATGGTCGGCATGATGGACGCATCCACCACCCTCAGTCCTTTGACGCGCCTGACTTTCAGTCTGCTGTCGACCACGGCGTACTCGTCGTCGTCCGGTCCCATCTTGCACGTACCCACCGGATGGTAGATGGTCATGGTGTAATGTCTCGCCTGGCATTCCCAGTACTCGTCCGACGGGAACTCGTGCTCTTCGCAGCCCGGCGTGGGTATGTCGTGCAGGGTGGCGTTCAACCGTTGCATGGCCGCCGTCTTGCTCATGGCGTACCCTATCTTTATGCCCTCCACCATGGTCCGCACGTCCCTGGGGTCGCTCAGGTAATTGGGCGTGATCCGCGGTGGATCGTACGGGTTGTCGCTGGCCAGTTCTATGTGACCCCGGCTGTACGGTCTCAGCAACAGCGGCGCGGCCGTGTACGCGTCCTTGTAGAGGATCGGCTCGAACACCTGGTCGTAGTAATCGTCGGTCAAGCCCACGTCCGGCTTGTTCAGCAGTCCGCCGTCCGTGTTGTCACCCGCCGTGGCCATGAAAAGTTGAATGTCCGGCCAGTCCGGGTCTTCGTTGTATCTGGGGGAAAATATTGACCTTAAGTACAACGACTGTTATGGGCATGGCCGTTTTCAGATAAAAATGTATCTTTCCCTTTTTTTACAAAAAAAAAAAAAATACCTAATAAATTAGAATTTAAATTGGTCGATGAATTGCCTAACAAGAAGTTTACTTTGTGTCTGAGAATTTAACTCTCATTTGGTTACCCAACAGACAACACAAGAATTCAAAAATCTTCAATATATTAACAAAACACTCTTACTGTTATAACATGCTATATAACACTTGTACTGTTGAACAAAATTCTCGTAGTTATTATATGTATCTAGACTCTGAGTGCTGTTAAAAAAATACTTACTTTGTGTTGACGAATCCCATTGCTTCGCCTAAAGCAATCCTGTATAATGGACCCATGTGGTCTCGGGTAAACTGAATGAATGAGCTCAACGTCAACACCCTGGGCAAAACGATTCCCATCCCTAGTGGACTTGTACAGTCCGGCGAATCGAACAGATAAGTCACACCGCCCGTCGCTATGTGATCCTGAAGGTTTTTGCCGACCCCTGGCAAATGTTTGACCACCTTAACGCCGGCCTTTCGCAGTTTGTCGGCGGGACCTATACCGGACAACATTAGCAGCTGCGGAGAGTTAACGGCACCGGCCGATAAAATCACTTCCTTGTGCGCTTTTACTAGGGTCGGAATGCTACCCAATTTCGAAATGAGCACGCCGGTAGCTTTGCCATCTTCTACGGCCACTTTCAGGGCGTGCGTGAGTACGCTAATGTGGAGATTCGGGCGATCCTTGATCGGTCTCAAAAACGCTTTACCCGTACTGCACCTCAGTCCGTCCCTTAAGGTTCCTGAAATCATCGTACGATAAAAATAATCAAGATTAAGAGTCGTACTAACGTCACATTACTAGGACTAGATTGATTATAGTTTCAGAGATACGTGTAAGGTAGACGGGAGGGTCCATATGTAATATTATATGTTTTAGGCAGAGTCGATGAGTCTAATGTCGAAGGAAAAAACAATAAAAAATATAGCACACATATTCGTTTCAGACTGCAAAAAGAGGAGTAATTAAGGAGCATATGACGGAAGCCAGATTGTATAACCTCAACACAGTAGACTTAATAAGAACATTTTTTTTGATGAGCATATCAAAACGATAAATTTGAACCAACACAATATAAATAACTATTTAGTACTTTAAGATGAGCTTAATAGATCGGTTATTTCAGTAATTATACACTAAAAAAATTACAAAAGTTCGGTAGAACATGACGTTGATGAACCAAATGCGTAAGTCTGAACAAAACAAAAGTAGATTTGAAAAGAAAGGCAGATTGTAGAAGGTTAATCTAGATTAGGTTATACATGCAGTCAGGGGGGTATGAAAATGTCTATAAGCAAAGGTAAGTTTCGGTATCGAAGGGAAAGGTATGAAAAGTAAAGATTAATATTTTGTATAGCAGATCCAATTGTCTTTTTTTCAAATTTGTCAATAGAAAAAAACTTGAATTATAATGAATACAAATTTAAAAATATGGTTGTAAAAGTACTAAACATTTATTTAAACTATAATTATACGCCAGCTACCACAGTGGTAATAATATTATTACACACCATTGGATTGCAGTAAAATTGATTACATTCCTAAACCAATCGTTTTAATTATATTTAAATGTATTGGCTTGTAATGAATAACATATTTAGTACTTATTACGAGCTCGTCGCATTTCTTACAATGAGATTTGTACAATGTATTATGAATTAAATCGTTTGTTGTGTTTAAAAGAGCCCAACAAGCATTAAAACGGAGAGCACGATTTATGCCAACGCTAGCAGACCTAACGACCACACCCGCTGTTGGACATATTAAATGCATATTAAACATGTCTACGTCGCTCATCCGGCCAACATAAAGTGGATCGACATGTTTGTAAAGACTTTCAAGATAACGCTTGGCTTTGCTGTCGGTTAATTTATCCACGCCAAGTCGGTTTCAAACGGAATGCGTTATTTTTTTGTTTTTCAATTCAGCACTAACAGCACGGAATATATCATGTTTGTTTACCTTGAGATTTCGTAAAACCGGTTTGATTGGCGCCGTTTATGTCGGTCTCGTCGTAGCCAAGTTCCGCCGCGGCTTCCATGAAGTTCCGGACGATCGGCGACTGCGAACGGTAATATTCCACGCTCAAGTAGCCGCCCGTGCCGTGATACTCTGAGCCCATCAGTTCCGGTATGCGCATGTCTTCGGATTTCTTGAAGTACGGCAACACATGCTCGTAGCCCCAACCGTCGTTGCCAGCGTCTTGCCAGGCGTCGTAGTCCTTCCTGTTGCCCCTGACGTAGAACATGGCGTTCAGCACGCTGCTGCCGCCGATGACTTTGCCGCGTGGCCACGAAGACCTTTGGCCTTTGAAGCCCAAACACGACTGTTCGCAGGGTTCCGTCTTGTATTGCCAGTCGATTGGGGTGCGCTGCAGGGACGGATACAGAAACGGTATGTCCGACAAAGCCGGTTCGTCGATGCCGGCTTCTATTAGCAGCACCTAGAAAACGGCGAATATGCCATAAGTCACATTAAGAGCACGTCTGACGTCTCACCGACGGTTTTCAACATGTCTGACCAACAAAACAGACAAGAGATACCTTTCATAGTGATTTTAGATGATAAAACACCTATAGTTAAAAAAGATAGAGGCCAACATTTCCGAAGGAGCCATGCGTTGTAGATAACACACAAGTGATACCTTCGGAAATCGTGTCCTCTATTTATTTCTCTATTATAAATGCTTTATCTCTAAAATCACTTTTGAAGGTCCTTTTCCGGGTTCGCGTGAACACCTTTAGATGAATATTTTTTTTATAAATCGCTGTCATGATGCTGTGATAATCCGAAAAACAAATTAACTACTAAAAAGAGTTTGACGTTTAAATAAAGATTTTGCAAAAAATTGCCTATACCTAACTCCTTAACACGATGTCCTCTTAAAACAAAAGTAATTTTTTTTTAACGATCAATAATAATCTTTATAAGCACATAACAAAGGGAATAATATAAAAAGCCAGAGCAATGAAAAAATCACTTTCAAATAAACTCAACGATGCAAATCTGTAATGGTAGAAGTACAAATATCGATAAAAGCATTGTAATGACAATAATGTGCTTAACAATTTATTTTTCGTATTAGGGTTGATCGTCTGTCTGGAATATTTTATTACTGTAGTTATCCACATATTGTGTCGTAATTAACAATATAGTGAAAATATTTTCAAAGACTAAAAAACCTAGTTACAGACTACGGCCAATGTGTAGTTTTACCTTTTTTTTTTTTGAGGGATTTTCCTTAATACAAAAATAAAGTTTGACTACAGATTTTTCAGAAAGTTGTATGTATTGTTATAAGCTCATTCTGGATCTGCCTTTGGTCTAATTTTCCGACCTTATACCCTATAAAACTAGGCGAAATAAAGAAAAAGTGTCCACCTCTCTTCTAGAGGAAGGGATTTATAGTTTTTTTTATTTTTGACATCGGTAGTACTATGCTTATAGAATATCCCAGTACAAATTTGGAACTAATTGTACTATTTTTTTTTGTAACAAACTTATAGGGCGCCGCAATTTAAGTTGAGAAATATCTAAACATTTTTTCTCTATTTTCAACGGGAAAGGGTGGACTTTTTAAATTTTCGGCCCAACAAAGTAACTTTCAAGTACGATTTTTTTGTTCTTCTACGCGAATGAATCGGTTGTGCGATTTTTATAAGACAAAAACAGCGTTGTTTTTAGAGGACCAGAGGGGGGGGGAGGTTTGTCTCGCAATGCATTTACCGTCCATTTGGGGTTTTCCGAGAGTCTGTTGGCGACGACGGCGCCCGCCGAACCGGCTCCGACCACTATGAAATCGTACTGGTCTCTAATCTGCGACATCTTGTGATCAAACAGTCGGTTTCCCGCGTCTTCGATGTCGGGCCGGAAAAACAATACCGCCACCCGTAGCAGGATTATGTAGCTGACACTCGGCCCGTACGACAGGGCAATGCGAGCCGCCAGCCTGGCCGTGTACAAGCCGGGAGCCATCGTCGGCTGCTAGGTCTTGTATAGTTCTTAGTGAATCGCAGACAGAAGAGACCTACGATACGAAAATTATCGCGTACATACTTGACGTTAAAATTAAAAAAAAAAAAAAACACTTATTTTTGTTTTAAAATACATCCACCGCAACCGGTAACCCGTACGACTAGGCCATAACTGCACAATAATATAAAGTCAATAATAAACTGTAGGACGGCGTCCTAGAACAAAATATTTCAAACGTGTTCGTTTTGCTACTGGTCTGTTTTTTTTTTTTTTTTTTGTCTTCATCGAACATGTGTCGTTTTGATACATACATACACATATATATATATATATATATTTTTTAATCGAACAATAAATACGGTGTTTTGATTTATAAATATTTGTCGTTTTCAAAGGTGTCTCGTTGTGTTTATTGTTTTGACCTACCTACTTAACAACATATAATAATATAAAAAAAAATTATTATGTTATACTTTAGAAATATTCGCCGAGAACAAAAACCCATTTTTTAATAATAGCTAAAACATTGATCTGACGGATAACATTTCCAAACAGTTTTTCAATTGAAATTCGACCGGGTCAGGTGCAAATATTATTTGTATACACCACACACTAACAAACGGTACCTGTTGTAAGTATAATAATTTATTTTACATTACAACGCTCCACAATGAGACGTTCCTTCCGAATGAAAATTTTGGAAGGAATTTGCCGCTTTTTCAAAAAATTTACATTAACTCGTTAATGTTGTTATTGTTTATGTTTTGTTTGACTTGCCATTAATTTAATTTATTAACTCAATACATTTTTTAACTAATAAAAAATATCTAAAACATTTCTAAAATTAAAGACATATCTTTTACTGTTTTCATCTTAATTAAACGAAAATCTAAGATTTTCAAAAATAAGACATATTTTTGGAGGAACAAATTTTGTTTTTCATAACCACAAAAAATGTTTTTAAATGGTTTGAAAAAAGTTAAACTCTGAAAAAATGCACTTAACAACTAAATGTTAATTTAAAATTGTAAAACTGATAGAGAACTAATTAAAATATATTATGTAAATAAATACTTAAACAAATGCATTATTCATGCAAAAAGAAAAATATCATAACATGAATTATTTTTGTCCTTTTAATATAGCGTGGAATGTTTGTTATGAAGTGCATAAATTTGTTTTAATACTAGTTACGATTTTTTTTACACATATTTCAATAAAAATCTGTCGGATAAGCGTATTTTCAACTACCTGTCAAGTAAATTATTTTGTGTCTACGACAATGGCAAATAAAAAAAAACATTTTATACCATCGTCATGATTCGAGTTTAAGGCCAATTGTTTATTACAAAGACATAATGAAAGTTATCAAAAAAAAACAAAACAAATTAGAATAACTTAAAATAACTGACCTCTTTAAACAACAAGTCTGGGTAATCTATGTCCATATAACACAATCATACTTATTAGTAATTATTATTAGTTAAAGTTATTGACTTTTTATACAATTCTTTTCCATTTTCAATCGACATTTAATTGATTGTCAATATTTTAGATGTTGATACCACTTTTTAGGTGGAATGTAGAATTTTGAAAATTACAGTGTCGGAACATAATATGATACATGTATTTGTGACACTTCAATGTAAAATAAGCATATTGTGTCAAATTAATGTAATCAACAACTAACAGAGTTTACTAACATTAATGTTTTAATCTCATAACGCAATACATTTTTATAATTATACAATTTATTTGTGCAATTTATATGTGTCTAATCAATAATAGTGTTTGGCAAAAAATACTGTGCAGTTAGATAAAATATCATAACACATGTGTGTGTGTACATAATTATCAAGTTAAATTATTATTATTTTACTACTGACGGATTTCGTTACAAAAGAGCAAATAAAATGCCAGTACTAGTTTTATGTACTTAAATACAATATTATAACGTCAACAAATTTAATTTACTATATTTTGATTTTTCTGAAATTTGATTTGAAGTCGCCAGCTTGGTGTTCAACATGACCGAGACTATCGAGTACGACACTCGCATGACCTAAATATACAGTTTGTGCGTCACATACAAAAAATGGTAATTGCATATTACTATGGTCTTTGCGATTGACATTGGCGTCCCTATGGGCTATAGTGTAGTGAACTTTAAAAAGAAACCTCAACAAATATTCTGGATCAGTTAAGCAATTGAATTGAAATATCTAACATCATTTGCAACTTGTTATTATTATCTGTTTTATTGGCTATGATGTTGGAAAATCATGTATTCGGTAAGGAATATTTTCTCACAAAAACCTAATGATCATCATTGAAATAATATAAGTAATTTGAATAAAACGAACATCAATCATAATAAAAATAAAACTATTGCCTAATATTTTATAAAGAATTGGTCAAGAAACCATATTATGATGATAGCTATATGTTATATTTTATGTAAGAACGCTTTTAGGATTTTTTATATAAAATAATCAGATGGAGTTGAATATCAAAATTTGACTTTCCTAAAAAAAGAAATGTTTGATATTGTTTTGCTATAGCTGCTGTCAGCTTCACTAACATCACCGTGTGATCTAAATAATTTGTACGACTATTTCTACTGAACACTATAAAAAAATAAATGTTTGCACGAACCTGACAAAATAATAAAAAAAATTGTATTTTATATACTAAACGTTTATAAATACATGATCTCTTGAAAATATATTATATTGAAAATACCTAATTAATTCATCAATATTTAAATATAACACTTATTTTATGTTGGCACCAACTATAAGAATATGTTCGCATAAACAACTTATTATGTTTCCTAGTACCCAGACACATATTTCTACTGTTTGATAACCCCAAGGTTTCCATTGATACTTACAGGATAATAATGACAAATTTTTAGATCTCCTTATTGAGTATATGTATTTCAGATGACAATTTTCTAATATATTTCTTATTCTAAATGTATTTTTAGAACTGTACCAATTCGAAGGAAGCAAATAATTCAATGGACGTTTTTGTTGCTATTTTTATTGCATCACTGAGTTTTGATTGTCTCTCGTGAACAATTCTAGAGCGGGAAATTAAACTGAATATATGTCGAGAATATTTTATTAATCATATGTATATCTGGATAAGGACATACCTAATTAATAAACTGTAGAAACTTCGACCCTGATTGCTTCTGACAAAGTTATAATCTGAAAAAATGTATTTCACGTTCTTCTTGATTTATAAAACTAGACGAGGGTCTAAAAACATTTTCTACTGTAGCGTATTTTTCTAGTTTACATTTAAATATATTAAAATTGCAATCCTTCCCAATATGCGGATTGAATAGGTTTGTAATAAAAATATACTAACCAGTATTATTTTTTTTTCCAGGAACGTGTAATTGAGACATATTATAAACAAAAACAGTCGACTTATTATTATGAACCGAATAATTAACAGGACAGTTATTGATCACAAGTCAAATAGAACATTAATAATGTCAACGATATTTAAAATACAACTCGTTAAAATCAAAGCTCGTTAGACCCATACAGTACAATAATAATACAAGATATAAGTAGTAACAATATTAGCCGTTAAAGCAACGTCCAAACATCAACAAATACCGTTACAAAAAAAAAAAAAATTAGTACAAAAAAGCACCGACAATAGTGATTTAAAAGAGAAAATCTATAAAAGTATAAAACTTCGTATAATATTCTAGGCGAACCCCGTTAAAAAATCAATACATTTTGTTTACTAGAACAAGAATAATAATTTTTCGTATAATAAGACAAGCGTTCGTGGCAGTCAGAGTCCACAATAATAGTATGTAACATGTTGGTTTTACTATACTTAGGTACTATTAATAGATGTCGATTAAACACTAATGCGGTTCGTTAGGCAAATTAAATGTCTCGAATGTGCATACTTTGCCTATTGCTCTGTACGGTAGGAACCATATTAGTTTAATTATTGTGAATAAAATCAAATCGTACTACATTCTGCGAAGACTCGCGACACATTTGAATGGCGTTCATACCACATGTTTATTGTTGATAGGAAAAAAAATTAATAAATAATATCATAACGTTTCAATGTACAGAATAAATACTTTATATCACAAAAATGTCGGCGGTTAAAGAACAAACAAGTGTTATGTGTTTTTTCACCGAACACAATATAATATGGAACGCGTATTTCCTACATATATTCGGCTGCCATTTTGTGGACAGTCATTGTTTTGTCCATGACATTTATTGTTTTTTTTCTACGATTTATCAAACAATATATGACGGAGTTATCATTATAAGATTATCATCACCTAACCCAACATTGTATCATGGAAAAGTGACGTAACATTTTTACTTTCTACGAAATTTGTGCACAAAATGGCCGCCTCCCGGCTGGGGACATTTTTCAATCTGAATACGCTTTCGATATTATATCGAGTTCAGTGGTTTTTTTTTTTTTCACTTTTAGTTTAACCACTGTTCTTTGATCATGTCCGCTGCTTTTTCGGCTATCATGATGATTGGCGCGTTCGTGTTGGCGCTGACCAACGTGGGCATGATCGATCCGTCAGCTACTCTGAGACCTTTTATCCCGTACACTCTGAGCTTAGGGTCTACGACGGCGGTCCTGTCCCATTTCGGCCCCATCTTGGCGGTGCCCACCGGATGGTAAATGGTCACCGTGTAATGCCGGACCATGCACTCCCAATAGGAATCCGTGTGAATCGGAACGCCCACGCAACCCGGAAACGGTATGTTGTGAAGGCGGCTGCCGTATTTTTGGAAAGCCGTGGTGTGGCTCATGGCCACCACAAACTTCACTCCCTCGACCAGCCTGTCGACGTCGTCCCGTTCCGTCAAGTAGTTGGGCAGGATCCTCGGATAGTCGAAAGGATTTTTACTCCTCAGCAAAATCTCACCTCGACTTTTCGGCCTCAACAACATCTGAAAGTCAAAAACGAAACACGGTTTTCAGTTTACAACAATTGGTCAGTCATCTCGATCAACAACTATATGGAAATCATCAGTCGGATTCAACCCAATGTTTTCTCCATTCAGAGGTAATTTGTATTTATCGACAGTATTGAGCAAAGGTGGCCTAAGTGCATAGATATTTCACGTCGTGCACTCGTATAGGAAGACTGAGATTCATAGTTTTTACGTTAGAGGACATAGATGTTTATTATGAATATATACAGTATTCACTTATGACATCTAGGCCCTATGCCACCGCTATAACATAGTGTTGTTCATTTAACTCAGTGCATATTTTTTAACTGCGCTAATTCCCCTTGGTTTATATAATTTGATGTATGGTGTCCTTTTTAAGAGTTCAAAAATTAATAAGACGTCTAAGCTTTGACAGTTGGCATAGCATACCCTCAGATTTGCTATGATTAAGATAAGTTAGGCAATACGAATTAGTTATTGGAATTATTAAATAGAACTCTGTTAAAATATAAGACTGTCGAGCATTCAAACTTACAGGAATGGCGGACCAAACGTCTTTGTTGTTAATGGGCTCGTACACAGATTTGTAGAAATCTTCTCTAAGACCGTGAGCTTTCCACAATTGAACACCACCGTCAGAATTAGTGGAACCGGACACAAAGTGCAATTCAATGTCCGGTTGGTCAAACGATTTGTTGTTGAACTTGGTGTTGATAAAGGCCAACCCTTCGACACCGCCCATGACCGTCAGAGGTCCGTCGCCCATCGTCGCATAGTTCAAGACGGTCTGGACGTTTTCCACTCTTTCTTGGATCAACGAGACCTTAAATGCAATGTCATTAACTTCGTGAAAAAAAATTATTGGAAATATAGTTCACGTTGCCTGCACACTTACATGCTGGTTGATCACAAACGCTAGTCCTCCTAACCCGATGTGATCTTGAAGGTTTTTGCCGACGTTTAAATCGGCCAGAACGGGTATACCGAATTTCATTAATTGATCTTTAGGGCCGACTCCGGAGAGCATCAGTAAATGAGCAGAGCTTATCGATCCGGCCGAAAGTATCACCTCTTTAGTCGCCCTGACAAAGTACCGAGTCTTGTCTTTGACCAGTTCGACGCCGTAAGCAATTTTCGTGTCCGGATTGATAGCTACACGGGTAGCTTGTGAATTGATTGACACGTGCAGGTTCTTTCTGAGTCGAGCAGGTCTCAAGAAAGCTTTGGCTGTGCTGCAGCGCGCTCCCCTTCTGATAGTGCCTTGAGGTATCATGAAACCCGTTTGACGCTCGCCATTAATGTCTCGTATGTCATAGCCCATCTCAAGGCCGGCTTCGACAAACGCATCGGACAGTGGTGTCTTGTACGGTGCCTCGGAAACAGTCAGGTATCCTCCGATTGAGTGGTATGGAGTGCGTGCCAAGTACGGGTTTCGGTTGTCCTCTGATTTTTTAAAGTAGTACAACACGTCGTCGTAACCCCATCCAGGGTTGCCTTGGTTCAGCCAATTGTCATAGTCCATTCGGTTGCCACGAACGTACATCATGTAGTTCAGCACACTAGAACCACCCAGGACTTTACCCCTAGGCCAGTTACAGCGTTTATTTTGCATTGCTGTAAAGAGAACAAAAAAAAAAAAAGCTATAATTTTATTTCCAAAAAATAATTTTCTCCAAAACAGTATTGATATTATACCCAAGTATACAATATTTTATTTTTTACAAAATCTGTTGTACAAAAAAAGTATATTACCTATTGTTATTGTTTGAATGTACTCCAGTAGGAAACTAATGTGAACGAGAACGACTTTATTCTACAATTATGGAATAGTGAATGTTATGTGAAATGGTGAATATGACTGTGTTCAGTGTTATTTAAAAAATATATTTCTAACACCTATTTAGACAATAAGTTTTGACGTTTAAGTCAAAGTAATAGGTAGCTAGTGAGTTAAATGAAGTAATATTTTGTGATGAATGTAAGTAAAGAATAATTTTTGTTTACTAGTCAAATTATAGTTTTCACGATACTTGTAAACAAATCGTGTATAAATGATGTACTAAATGTACTATAATATTGAGAACGATGTGTGATAGAAAGAGAAAGAAACGAACATTTCACCGACCAGGCTTGTGACACACAATACACAAGCTTAAATTGATTAGACAACACCTTAGATAAACATTATTTGGTGATTTTTTTTAGAAAGTTATGCCGTTCACAAACATTGTCTTACCACAGTAATATTGAATAATCATTTAACGTTAAGCGTGACAATATGTTATTATTATTGACGAGTGACAACATGGTTATGTATTGATACCGGTGTTCTCTGATATTCGATTATAGGTGATTTAATACAGAAGGGTTTTTACAGTAATAATTATATGATTCTCACCTAAGCATGCAGTGTCCTGGGGTTCGGCCTTATACTGCCAGTCGAGCTGACTGAGTTGTAAGTAAGCGGCCAACAGAGGCACGTCGGACAGCTCGGTTTCATCTCCGCCGGCTTCTATCAACAGTACGTTCCAATCTTCGACTTCGGTCAATCTGTTAGCTAGTACGGCGCCTGAATCGGATGGATAATATGCGTGTTAAATAATAATTAAACACGATAAACAATAACATTGTCAATAGCCCAAATGTTCTTGTTGGCTCACCCGCTGAACCGGCGCCGACTATGATGAAGTCGTACTCTTCCAGCAGCAGTTCTCCCGGCTGATCGATGATTCTGGACTCGGGATCGTTGACTTCATAGTGGAAGTAAGCTATTGCCGCCACTAGTACGGGAAGGAACCAGGCTACGTTGGACGCGGCCCCCGCTAAAGCTCCGACTGGTATGGCTTCTACACCACTCATGGTAGCGCATGCTATCGCAACTTTGATTCTGAAAAATAATAGCAATAATATAGGTTGTCGCCGTCGTTTGAGGTCAACACTATCGACGGTGAAACTAACCGATGCCAATTATTATTATTATTCACCGGACACGCCGGAAGTGGAAAGGAAGATAGAAACCGCGCCCGACGTGACAATCGTCACGTGTACCTATAACGCCGCATCTCGCTAACCCAATTAATTATTATTATTGTTATTTTTAGAAAATCTGATTTATCACAGACCTAATCATCTGCGTTGGGCCGAAAAAATCTGACGGAAAGTAGTAAAGCATTAAATACGCTTTCAGCAAGACCGGATGAGTTAGCAATTCACTTAGGTTATAAAGAACAATTGAAAATGTTCGGTTAATTCGGTAGAGTTGAAAAAAAATTCGAATGTTATTGTACCAAAAATGAGAACAGTATTTGGGCAATTTAGCCCGGAGTAAACATTTATATAGTTTCGCATTATGAGCTCTATGGAGGTGTAAGACTAGGGTGACCGACCCCGTGTAGTTGGTAGTGTAAGGCGAAGATAAAGAAGGAGAAGAAGATACAGTTTCGCATTAGACATAATTTGAATATTAGTAATTATATAAATTTCAGCATGTATACAAATTATAAGTTTTGTTTTAACGAATTTTAATTAATTTTCATATAATATATTGTTAATGATATGTATCAATAAGCTTATATCATTTATCTAGTCTTATATGATACTCTCTCCTCTTGCATAGCCATTGACTTTTAAGGAGATCCATAAGAAGAAAAAAAGTTAACTCTTTGGAAATTTAAATTTGTGTTCGGCTAATTTTTTGTTTTTATTACTGAACTTAATGGGATATTTTTCAAAATGAATTTACCTAAAAGTCAATTTGACGATTTGAGTTCGGAAAAATAACTATATTTTGACGTATATTATTAAATTGAAACGAACTCTATTTTTAATGTCCTTGCAGAGATTTTAATTATGTAGTTAACTTAAAAAAAAAATATATTAATTTCGTTGACTTTACACATTTTTCGTTCGGAGTGATAGCGAGTAAGTTAAAATTAAAAATCGTTGGACCTCAATGAGATTTATTAAAATAGATTAAATTCGTTAAAAAAATAGAATCTTCCATGTTTAGGACGAACTGTCAAAAGACCAATCAACGAGATGGAAACTTAGATCGCACTGTTATTCCATTGAAGGCGTTTAATATATATATATATGTATATAAAATTTTATCATGAAATTAAACATCTATAATTTACGTGTACATAATAGACTCACGTGGTTTTATTGTGACATCAGTTGGAACTATTATTCAAATATCTTTTATACCGCTAAATGCTGTCGGATGGTAACTTGTGACGACGGCGGTATAAACAACACGGAATCTACTTGTTTCGGTTAGATCAACGACCTTATACACTGGCGTAAAGATGAACACAGAACCTCTCTCGTATAACGGTATCCATGAACAAGAACGTGGCCACCTCTCTTCAGTGCCGAACCTGTTTCAGTACAGCTGACACAACAAGTAACCGCGCGCCGGCACACACTTGTGGGAGAGACATTGACTTGTTTGCCCTCCGACAATGAACTTGAAATGGTTTTATTGTTTTTGTTGCGATTTTACAACGAAAAACGTACTATTTTTCACTTTACCGCCGTCGAAGATGGAAAGTGATATCGGTCAATCGGTTGTCGGATATTTTTCAAATGGTGTCTAAAAAATATACAGATACCAATAAATTTCACCGAGCATCGTGTCAATGGCGTTTTAACCGCCAGATTTCTATAGGCATTGACGAACGCACACGTGTCTTGACACGATGCTCAACAATACACGGCGAGTTTGGCCAATCGAATTATTATTCTATTATCCGAAACGAGGTTAAGTCGAAGCCAGAACGTCAACTCAAGTGGCCGCACGGTGCGCTTCGATTTCTAAACTACAAGACTGTACTGAAAATAATTGGCCTCGGGTGATTAATATTAGAACAATCTAAATAATTTGGTCAAAGTCAAGAGAAAATTCTATACTTTTTGTCGAGGAAAATCTAAACAAAAACTCTTGCCAGTCGGGGTCGGTATGTAGACTCTCTTGGTTTTTAATTTTCGGAGCATTATAGAAAATATATCATTGATTATTAAGCAATTTATTAAAAAAATATAAAAATTTAAGAGGGGGAGAGGGGAATGTATTTCTCACAACATCAAAGTTTTTTAATTTCAATTACCATACTTACTTGATTTTTTTAAAAATCAAGAAATTAAAATAACACAATTCAAAATACATTTATTGTCTGCACACATGTGAATGTATTAGCACAGAGTTACGGACACCCTATATAATGATTCATATTGATACGGCATACTTTTACCGTCTACAAGACGATTAGTTGAACAGTCTAACCCAGTTGATTTCTCTTAAAATGTATTAAATTTTATCTTTTCAGAAGGCGTTTTGACATAAAGTGACCTGATTTTTCTAATAATTTGCATTAAAACCATCTTTCTCCAACTGGCCGTATTACTAACTAATGGTTTACAAATGGCAACCTACACGTTTACCAGTTATATTTATAGACCAGTGGTCTACAAAAATCATCAAATTCAGTTTTGAAAAATGTATTCTCTCCAGTTGTTAAAAACAACATCTTCAACTAACTCATAGTCGGGAACACTAGAAAAATAAAACATTATAAGAAAATTGGCTGGATAAATTCGCTAACAAGCGTTAACTATAAAGTAATTTTTCACTTCCAGTTATAATAATTTCTAAGCACCTATGACCTTCCCGTCCTCACTGTATTGGCCTTATTTGTATTTGTTGTTCTTTGTATCATTGTTCAGGGTAATTTCGAATTGCAGAAATCCAAGAAGGCTAATTTTGTTATTTCATGGTTTTGTAATTGACGGATGCCAAAAGCAAACAATCTTATTTGTGTACACACAATATATACAAGTAGGGTGTCGGACCATAATTGGTTTACTCGTCGATAAGTACTTCACAAATCTTACTTTGTACGCTGTCACACTCTATTTATCGCCTTGGGATATTTGTTCTTCAAATGATGTATGACCAACAAATGTGGTTTATCGAAAATTACATTCAACAAAGAAGAAAACTAAGAAAGAAATAGTCAGTATTTAATCTGTCAATATATATTTAATATAACTCCAAATGCAAAATTATATCGTGTTTTTAAACAATGTGATGAACAATTTTTAACTTAAATAACATTGAAAAAAGTATCAAAAATGGTAAACGACTAGTCAACTATTCTGAATTAAAAAGTTAATGAAATGTATGCGTTACCATTTAGTTTTCAAAAGTTGATGTAAAATTAATTAGTTTAGGAGGGGGTAGGAACATAAACATTTGTGGAAAATTGAGACCACATTATATAAGAATATCATTTCTTATTTAAGATATACAATAAATTTTATATTTTATGTGAAGTAAACTAAACTAAAAATAACTAGCAAGACTTCAAGGGTTGTTTTAGTTAACATCGTTTACACTGTTGTATCACTGATCTTCCTAATAACCAATAAAAATTAAGTATATTTTTTAGAATAGGATAATTATTATAAATGTTTTTAAAAAAAGCTTAAAATACGGGACACACTTTTTTTTTATTGACTTATTATCACCAGAACTTTTCTGGAAAAAATCAATTCTATTTGTCTACATTTTTTTTTAGTGAGTGAGTAACGTGTGATTTTTGGACGGTTTACATTAAAGGAATCAAAACATCAAAGCATAATTAACTGAACATATGTAGTATAATAATATGTATACATATATTATGATATTATGTCGTCAATTGAATATTATATTCTTGGACATTTTTATAATGTTAAAATTATATACGAGTACATTTCAATGGAAATTTAATAGCTAAAAATAAATTATATATTATATAAGGTAATTATAACACATAACAATCAATATGTAAGATGTTAATAAAATAGTCATTATTAAAATATGTATTATTTTATACTTAGAATATTATTTTTAATATTGAGTAAAGATGAATTACAAAATAGCATTTTTCAGTTAAAAAGTATAAAATTATAACACAAAAAAATATTAATTGTAGTAATTATTCACAAGTCAATCATGGCAGCACCTTAAAAAAAATTTCGGATGAATATTATTTAATTGCTCTTAGATACTTTTTTCCATTTTTTTTTTATGTGGTACTAAAAAAATACTTTTAATACTTAATATTATTTTTTTTTTTTAAATATTTTTTTATAGGAAATTGTTAAATTTTATAAAAATACAAAAATTTTAGTATACTTACAACTCGGACAACCTGAAATTAAAACAAATGTATAAATTTTATAAAAGTAGAATAATTTTAATGTACTCACCACATCTATCGCAACCTGAAATTTAAAAAAATGTTTTTTAAAATATTTTTTAATAATAAATGATTAAATTTGATAAAAGTAAAATAATTTTAGTATACTCACATCTATTCCAACCTGAAATGAAAAAAAATGTTTTTATTAAAAATACTTTTTAACATTACATTGTTAAATTGAATAAAAGTACAGTAATTGTAGTATACTCACCTATTGCAAGATCTGAAATTAAAAAAATTTTTTTGTTTAATAACTGATAATTTATTTATAATATAAATAAAAAAAATACAAATTTGAAATCATTTTTATTTCCTATACCAGGTGTTTGTTTAACAATGACCCAGTCAATAACTTAGAAAACACTACACTTTTTTTAATTATTATTTTATAGTTATTACTAGGTACAAATTAAATATAAATTTTTTTTTAAATAACCTCGTCCCTATGTGTTAAAACTTTATAAACTAAAGGTTTTTTAAATAGTAACGTATATATTTAATTAACTTTTTAAATTAAGAATAACTTGCTGATAATTTTTGCTGACGAGAACCAGTTTTAGATAATAATAATATTATTAGGGTGTAAAATTTAGAACAAATAGAAGGGTTGAGAGTGGAGGTTTTTTTTGCGCGTATCACTCAACTGTACTTCCCCTCCCGTCCTTACATTTAAACTTTAATAACTTTGAAACTAATTATCCAAAGCTGGTTATCACCCTGTCAAACTGTTCAGCAAATTATTGTTAATTAAAAAAAATATTCATATATTTACGTTACCATTTAAAAAAATTAAGTTCGTATGGTTTTAAAATAAAAGGGATGGAGTTATATACTTATTAAAAATAATTTTAAAAAGTTCAATATTTTCTATAAGTTAGTGACTGGGTCATAGTTAACCAATCACCCGGTACACCGTTAAAATACTGAAAAAAATACAATTAACTTCAATGATAATATACAGACATTTTATGTAGTTACTAAAAATGCTACTGTAATAATAATAAACCACTATAAATCTTTAAATGTAATAAGGCATTTATATTAGATAATATATTACATTGATATTTTTAATATTATAAAATAAAAAAACATAATTTAAAATAATTTGTACTACCTTCACAAAAATCGCTTTCTGAAAAAAAAAACATTTATATAACAATGTGGGTTTACACTTAATTTTTCAAGTCTGTTTTACTCAATGATTACCGTATCAAAATATTCGGTATAAATGAATAAAAAAAACTTAATTTATACTTAACTTTATAGACGATTTAAGCTAATGAGAACAACCCTAGCTAAGACTACATCTGAAATTATTGTAGTATCTATTTCATCAAATTCGGTTCAGTAGTTTTAGTAAAAAATTATTAAATTTGATAAAAGTAAAATATGTTTAGTTACTCACCCCAACAACCTGAAATTAAAACAAATGTTTTTTATAAATATTTTTCAAAAATAAATGATTAAATTTGATAAAAATACAATAATTTTAGTATACTCACAACTATCATCAGCTGAAATAAATTTTTTTTGTAATAAAAACGTATTTATAATATAAATAAAAAAACAAAATAAAAATATTTTTTTCAAATTAAGAATAATTTGCTGAACATTTTGACTGGTCGATAACCAGTTTTCGATAGCTATCTTCAACGTTATTCGAGTTTAAAAAATAGGACGAAAAGAAAGGTGAAAAGTAGAGATATCTTTATCTGCATGGATTACTTAACCGTACTTCGCCTCCCGTACTAAATTTAAAACTTTAATATTTTTGAAACTAATTATTCAAAACTGGTAATCGACCAGTGAAACTCTACAGCAAATTATTTAAAAACTTGTCAAAAGGTTGTTGTTCCAACCCCTTCGTTATATCTGTTAAATGAAATATCTGACGAAGTAACGTATAATAAATTGTAAAAAATGCGAAATTATAATACACTTATTTACGTAAACATATACATACCACGTGCTAGAAAAAAACAATTTCATAACAATCAGTAAATTAAATGTCAGATGTAAAATATTATTTACTTGTAATATTGTCTTGTATTATATTGTCTTTATTATAATATTGTCAAAAATGCGAAATTTACCAAAATGATTGTTTACTTTTCTACGTTAACTTAAAAAACGTAAAGTTATTATAATTCAAAATACGTAAGTATTGTACATAGCCGCATTGGATTATAAGTTAATTAAAAAATGTTAGTAATAAAATGATTATTATCAAAAGAATAAAAATATTATGTGTATTGTTTTTTATTGTTTTTAAACGTAAACATACTTCTAGAAAATACTTGTGTTGCTGGCGGGGTTACTGAAAATGAATAAAGTTGTAATTAGCCAAAGGGACAACACAATAAAAAAAATGTACATTCAAACAAAATGGACAATATAGGGTACATAATAGCTATAAAAATGAAATCTATTTGTTAAAATATAAGAGTTTATACAAAATAATTGCAGTCTGAACCTGCTCTATTTAATTAGGTACATCTAAAGGTAAGATTTAATTAAATTATTTAACCTTTGAGATCATAAAATAGGGGAAAATATGTTTTCTATTTTCAATTATTTTTATTTCTTTTATTGTAGCATAAACAAAAATATCTTGACTGTTTTTACTATTTACTCTTCCAGTCTATACTAGGAGAAAACAATAGTTGTATCTGCTTTTAACTAGATGCGCGAAGAGTGATTACACTTTATTCTACAGTATCGTTAATTATAAATAAATACCTCGAAATAACTAAAACTCCTCTAGCACGGTTATATACGTTTAAGTACGAACGCCGTTTGAAGTAATACAGTAATCTAACTACTCATTTTAAATAAAATAATATAGCACTAACAATACAGAAAAGTCGATATGTAACTCGTATAGGTTAGGTTCAAGAAATTTGTTTTTTTAAGGTATTACTTCAAGTCATATGTCTGCATATGAAATTTGTCTTGCTTAACATGAAGGTAATCATTTGATGAATTGTTGTGTTGTACATTAGAAATATTACAATTATTATTTACTTATCTATACCGACCGGATATTCTACTGGAGGTTCTAGAAAATAATACATTTGTAACAATCAAGGGATAAATTCCGGATACAATAATGCAATGTAATTATATAATTTTGTAAAAATGCAAAATCATCTAAATTATTATTTACTTATCTAAACGTAAAAACGTAAAGTTATTACGGTCCCAAATAAGTTACTATTGATCATAAAAAATGTTGGAAATAAAATGATTTTTTAACGTCAACATACCTGGTGGCCATAATATCTGTGCTGGCGGGGTTTCTGAAAATGAATAAAGTTATAATGGCCCAAAAATAACAAAACAAAAAAAAAATTGTACATTTAAACCAAATTGACAATTTTGGGTACATAATAAATATGATAATCAAAACTATAGTACTGTACATAGCCACTCAAATTAAAAATTTATTTAAAAAACGATAGAAATAAAATTATTATTATAAAATAAAATACGACTATAATGTGAATATGTACCTAATAATAATTATTAAACATTTCAAAATAGTATATAGTTATACATACTGTTTTGGTTTTCAACAGAACCATGTATAAAAAAATCGCTTTGAATAAAATGAAGTAAAATAAATATATAAAATAGGGTGCCTCATAAAATGTATTTGAAATATCAAAGAAGGCGTCGTTAATAATTTTAAATTAATGAATTAATAAATTGAGCATAAAATAGAACAAGTTTGTTAAGTATTGTCGAAAAAAAAGAATTGCTTTAGGCCCTCACATATTATGTAGACAGTATAATATTGTACAATTTGTTTGATTTTACAGCGTTAACTTTAAGAACTATGCTATAATATTAACATAACATTTTAAGTGGCATGGATACTGAAACGTTACTTAACCTATAATTACCCGTAACCTATTATTTAATATAACTAAACGCTATAAAACCACTATAATGCATGTACCACACATACTACTACATGTACTATACAGTATACATGCAATGTAAGGAATGAAATTTCCAAAAATCAAAATGATATTTTATTTTTACCAAACAGCATAAATAGAACAGTATAGAAAACAAATTTCGCAAAAAAATAATCACTAAAACCTGTAATCGATTATATTAGATCATGGTAATAACGAGCACCGTTAGAACGTATTTCGACAGAGGATTTTAGGAGGAATAAATAAAATGATTAATAATTAATATAGGAAAGTTGATAACTAACTCGTATGGGTTCAAACAAAATATAATAATAACACTTACCTCCGGGTCTTGCGTTTATGACTGAAATAAAAAAAAATTTAAAAAAAACAAAATTTTTACCATATTATTAAAATTATAATAAACACACATTAGACTAATCAATGTAAACATCTAAAAATATTGTTTTAACTAAATCATACACAAAAATATATTTGTAAAAATATATAATAGTATATGTTACCTGTAACTATTGTCAGAACAAAAAACATTTGTAATATCATTCTGGCAAAGTTTCTTCTAAATACAATTTGTAAAAACTACTGCAGCTAATAGTAAAAAAAATTATAAATTTATATTAACACTGAAACGTTACGGTAAATTGATTTGAAGACAATTCGACTTGTAAATGCTAAATAAATACGATAAACGCTGTAATATATACAGTGATATTATCTACTAAAATGTTATTTATTTAAAAAACAACACAATACAAAGGCAAGTCATATTTATTTTTGTTTCCAAAACGTTTGGCTTCGATAACTAAATGTAACCTCCACTAAAAACTTATTTGTTTAAAATAAAACAACAACATTTGTATTATTTGTTTTTAAACCAGACCTTAAGTCGAAAACAAGGTATATATTTTTGTACTTATCGAAGTAATACTTTAACTTCATGCATAAGAAAATTGGGTATTTAATACATATACTATGTTTAAAGTAACCGAACAAAATCCACCTTGACATCATAGAGAGGCTTCAGGCCTCTTATACACATGTGTATAAGTTGTTAACGTTAGGCCTTTTGGGACGACATAAAAAAGATTTTGATCTTGTAAAATTAAAAACATGTCAAAGTTAAGTTACGCCTAAATAAAATAAATATTGTTCTTGGAACGAATTTTTTATGTCGTCCCAAAAGGCCTAACTCAACTTCAACAATATGTTCCTAATATTGTTTTTTTTACAAGCTCAAACTCAGTTAATCTATCATATATCACACAATAATTATGTATCTTTTTCAATCCCTGGCTAAAATGGTTTGTAGTTTTATGACACAAGTGTCTATATCTGAAATAATATTTTGAGAATCATGGGCTTAAACAATCAAATCACCATATAGCTATACTATTTCCATGGGTTGGAGGCTAGTTCAGGATTATGGAAAATAAGCACAATATTTTTGTTTAAAAACTTGTAATTTTTTAAAAATTTTCCATCATCTTTACAATGAGATTTAAAACTAAAAATTTACTACGAATTATGCATCAAACAAGTATTTAAAAATGTATACCAGGTCTTCAACATTTTTGTCGTTTTTCATGTTTTTTAGAGTACGGTTATAATACAAAAAAAGTTGTGTACGTTAACAACTTATACACGTGTGTATAAGAGGCCTGAAGCCTCTCTATGATGTCAAGGTGGATTTTGTTCGGTTACTTTAAACATAGTATATGTATTAAACACCCATGCATGAAATTAAAGTATTACTTCGATAAGTATAATTTAAAAAAGTTCTATTCTTCACTCCTAAAAATAGAGACAACCCACCCTCCCCTCTATACAAAAAGTTATGTCGTTCGATTAATTGGTATGCTGCGTTCTATTGGCAACCCGGATTAATGGGCAATTCGCTTTATGTATATATTTTTTTAATAAAGTTATTTATATTATATAGGTACATGAAAGGGGCATAGTGTAGACAATTCTAGAAACACCGGTGTTAGACCAGCTACCGCGCCGTTCATCAATTCAGTTCATTTGTCAGTTACATGTATTACATAATAGGTGTACTATTACTTTATGTAAATAAACCATTGTACCTAAATAGTTTCTTTGTTTTTTAATAAGTGTTAATATATTCAATTTTCGTTTTGTTCCAATTATGTTTTTTTAACAATATTCAATATCCAAAACACTAAAAGCCGCTAGTATATTTTGTTTGCAAAACGGGTGTGTACTTTTTTTTTTTGTTCAACTTCGACGCTTGTGTGAAAAAAGCTATTGTTTTCACAATGTTGTGTTTTTTTTATTATGATGGTTTATAAACAAGCTACAAGACTGAAGACTGCGGTGCTAAATTATATTGAACTATTTTAGGTATATTATTGAGTTCTTTTAAACCTATGATTAGAGGTGGTAAGAAACTGTGGTTTAAACTGTGCTTGGCTTAGACTATGCTGGTTTATAGTGTGCTGGATTCTTACTATTTCTAGATTCGCATCAAAGCGGAAATTGTGATAAAATCACATTCAGATTTAATAATTGCTATGAACCAACTTTGCTAACTTCTTCTGTGCTGGTTTGTTTATTCGTGTCATGGCGTGTAAGACTTTTCCTATGGAATAAAACAAAATAGTGAAACAAAATAGTTTGTAAAATCCTTTTATGAACTTTTCTTCTAGCAATTTCAATTATTTATGTTGGTGGTTGGAGACAAGTCGTGTCAAAATACATGATTAAACGAAAGACAATAATAATAATAATAATAGTTTAGGTACACTCTAATGGGATTTCTACTAATAACAATAACTTATTATTTTAAGATATTCGACAGTGTAAAATTCAATATTATTGCTCTGCGACAATATATACATTGCCGATAAACGATTCTGAGGTGAAATTACTGAGAACCGGTGGAAGAGTAGTGGTCTGGGGCGGCTTGACAATGTCTTTGATTTGATTCGCTGCCCGTTTCATGGAACGGCGCAATTCGGAAGTGACGTTCATTATGAAATTGCCCAAGTCTCTCATCAGCCGAGGACTTTCGTACGGGTCGTCCAACACCTTGGCGTTGAACTCCTCAGACTGTTTCACTAAGTCGGCAGCGGTGTTTTCGAATTTGTCAAGTGCGTGTTTTGCCGTGTGATCGTCCTCGTTGTCGGGTTTGTTCACTCTGTCGATCTTATTCATCCAAGAAGACATTTTGTCTATTATGTTCTTGTTCTTCACCCGATTACCCTGAAAAAAATATACAGGATAATCATAATGGGCTTAACACATTTTTTTTCCATAATGTTTTTATGCAATGTGATCTCCATTTTTTGGAATTTTTTTGTTTTTACCCCCCCCCCTCTCCCAACTTACTTATTTTTATAGCAACTTTTGAAACTTGTAACGCATACACACGTTCAAGTTACTGAAGTATCAAGTGTAGGGCAGGAGGAAAGGTGGAGTGTAGTATAATTTTTATCTGCACGCACTTCTCCTACCGCCCTAACTCACTCTTATAACGTGAAAAATAGTTGTACAAAATTGATTATACCAACCAGCCAAAAATTGTAAATGCATTATTTTTAATTTAAAAAGTTAATGAAATTAATGCGTTGCCATTTAAGTTTCAAAAGTTGCTATCAAAAAACAAATACCAAGTTGGGAGGGGGGTACACGAAATTGTGAAAAATTGAGATCACAGTGTATTAAAACAATATGAAAATCAAAAATTAAATTTCTTATTCAGACATATTGAGTGGTTCACGATAAAATAAGTATCCTGTGTAATTGAAACCGCGTGAACAGTTTAATATTTTTCAAAATAAAACATCAGTCTATTAAATATATATATATATATATATGATTATTCGAAGCAATCCTAATGATGGCATACAAAAGTGTACAACTGTGACAATTTACTACAAGTTACAAGTCAAACCCTGTTTAATTAACTCACAAATATTTGTCAACTACTCTTCTATCAATCCGTGTTTGGTTATTAATTTTTCATACATTTTTAAAATAGATATTTAATAAACGTATTGGACATCTCCCATAGGAAAACATTTTTTTTTTAAATCTGTACGTTAATAACAAAAATAAATAGAATAACGTTAAAAAAAATTTTTTTTTAATTTCTAATTTTTATTTAATTTGGAATAAAATAAATTTTCAATATTCACGGAAGAAAAAGTTAGGTACTTTAATGGTATTATTTTGGTACGATGTACTTTTCTAAGCCAATTATTAAATTTCTGTGAACATTTTACCTTTAAATCTACTCGTTCTCATTTTCCTGACACTTAAAGATCATCTGACTTTGTCATTCCACATAACTCTAAGTTTTTATATCGGCTCTATCCATTTCTTAATTATTTCTATTTGCCAGCTATTGTAATTTTGATATTTCATCAAACCACACCGCTGTTGTCTCTATTTTATCCAACTTAATCACTCTACACACAATAATAATTTAAGGGATTTTTCGCGCAGAACGACTACTATATTAAGTTGTTCATACCTCGGCCTGTTCCAAAAGGCTTTTCAACCCTCCTTTGGCATACTTGGTGAACCCGTCAAACTCCTTGTTTACGATTTCTTTGATTTTTGCGTCCGCCAATCTTGTTGATTTTATCGCCGACACATAATCTTTGATGGCGACTTGCTGGTCTTCCAGATACGAGTGGACAGTATATATACTTTCAGGATCGATCTGTTTAATTTCACAAACAAAATGTAACACGGATTTAGGTATAAAATACTCTTTTCAGATCACCGTTTTAGTGACAGCATCATCACTTGATGTAGAACACAGCTTAACAAAACACAAATGATTGTTTTTTTTTTTTACTTACATAATCGTAGGTGACCACAGCATAAGTTGTAGCCAAGGCCAAGCTGGCGTACACCAGCACTGCACTGAAAACGGCCATTGTACACGAGGGGAAACGATTGTCAAAAAGTCAATATTTTTCCAAGCAAATTTTGATGCACGCCGATCAGCTTTACCGCCGGGATCCGTCTGTTTCAGAGGCGAACAATACACTTTTAGCAGTGTTTAAATGGCCAACGAGCCGGATCCACTCTTATCGGTATAATTATCCTGTGCAAACTCTAGACAAAGTGTCGGATAACTAATAATTCCACCGACAGGCCGCCGTTAATGGATACCCGTGAAGTGAAACCTGATATCGAATATTTTCACCGTTTTCGAGAAACCGTTTCATTATATTTGATTATAATTATTCAGCCGCGCACTGGGAAATAAGTTTATTTTTAACATAATATACAAAATTATTATTCTAAAACCAATCAAAAATAAATTCTAGTCATAAGAAATGGGATGACAGTTATAAGTATTTCTTCATATTAACTAAAGCTTATAAAATAGTAGTGCATAAGCTATTTAAATCGGCTTTTTAGTTGTTTACCTGTTACAATTTTTTAAAAAGTTAAACAAATCTGTACTGCGTTTTTTTATTGAAACCCCTTATGGGTTAATCTATTATTTCTTGTCGATAATATTTTTAATGATTTTGAATTATACTTAATAATTTTTGTCGTTTATTGCTTCGTGTCGAAGAGTTATCACTTTCAGTTGTAATAATTCCAAAACACCTGTGGCCTATGTGATCCTAATATTATGCTCCATCTTAATGTACTGATGTTTTTTTTTTTACTCTCTCACTACAAAACAAATGATTAAATTTACAACGTTATGTAAACGAATATTTTTTATTGACCCTTTCAGATCCACGGGTCAGTTTCAATGACTTAATTTTTAATAATTTATAATCAATTAACGAATATAGTATGTTTATAATTGGTATAGCTTGTTAACTTAAGCAAATTAGTTGCTAGTGGGGTGATTGTAAACAAACGTGACCAAAAATAATTGTCAATACAATTTTACCCGTATCTATACAACCACAGTCATGCGACAACTGCCAACTATTGAACTGTACCTGGTATTATGTATATAGATAAAGTAAGTATAAATGTTGTCCGTACAGTCCATACAGGTGTTATTAAAAACAGCAGTGATATTGATACGATAATGAATCATTATCAGTTTTCATAAGAACTATAATAATTATATTGTTGTTATTAAAACCATGCCATAAAGTATCATATTATTATAAACCCGTACCAAAACGCTATGTAGTACATTTTATTATCTTTAAAGAACCGATAAAATAAAATGTAAAATGAACCTTGGAACAGACGTAACGGTATTATTATAAAAAGTTGCGAACAAATATATTTATTTATCAAGTATTTCACGTTTAAACAATATAATAAGGATTTTATGTGTATAAAATAATAGTTGGTTAATGTATATAATAATTAATGCAAATTATCAAAGCGGCCAATACTCGCAGTGACTATAATATGATATTATACAGCTAACTGGTAAAAACATGAGACAGTTTACTACTTTTGTAAAATCACTAATTTCTTCCTTTGGCTTTAGTCGGTGCTGTTTTTTTCCCAGCGTCTTGGACTTGTTTCTAAAAAAAACATAAAATAAAAAATCATTAAGAAAAATAACAAAATGGAGGTATGCAACAAAATCCGTTTTTTTTTAGGAAATATCAAAAAAAATCTCTCAATATTTACCCCTACTGATTTTGCAATCTCATCAATTTTGTTGATTATCTCCATGAAGAAGTTGCCAATGTCGTCTAACATCGGTCGGACTTCCGGACGGGCCGCTTGGACTTTCTTTTTAAAGTCAGGCGCTCTTTTCACCATCTTGTCGATGGCTATTTCGAATTTGCCCACAGCCGTGCGACCCGTTTGCTTCGACAAATCGGTGCCGTTTCCGTTGTTCAAGCTGTCCAACTCGCCAAGCCAATAGTTCAATCTGGCCTTTACCTTCTCGTAAATAGGATTCGTGTCCACCTGTAACCGCGAATTAAACCATAGAGTAAAAATATATAGAGCTTTAGCATCATAATATAGCGTCCTGTACTCAGAAACGAAGTTGAGTTGGGCGGAGAAAAGCGCTTGAAGGGAAAGGATTGAGGATCAGTATGAATGAAACGGAGACAATTGTGTTTGATTTTGGAGAAAGTTATAGGGCAAGACAGGTGGTTATGCAGATGGGTGATAATGAAGTGTGTGAGGTGGATAGGTTAAGTACTTAAGATCGGTAGTACAAAAAAAATGGTGGGTACGAGGAGGACGTGACAGAATGATGCCTATAACATTGAAAGGTAAATTTTATAGGACGGCAGTGAGGCCGACAATGTTATATGGATCGGAATGTTGGACAGTAGACGAGAAAACTAAACAGAGAATGAATTAGGTAAACATAGTTTTTAGTCTTGACATGCGGGTACCCATCCCTTTTCCTCACTGAAACTTTTTTTTTTAATTTTTTACTTCCAAATCGAAAACTCTTAAGCGACTATTCTGTGTTAATTATTGCTGAGGTACCTTCTTCAATGTCGGAGCTATCCCGTCCTTGATGAATTTAGTGAAGTCGGCAAAACCCTTATTAGCAATAGTTTTGATTTTCGCATCTTCAACTCCGCTCGTGAAAACGTTTTCAAACGACTTGTTCATTGATTTTTGGGTGGCCAGTGCTTTAGTAAGCCATACATTTTCGTCTGCACCTGGGGCACCGAGCACCTAGAAATACATATTTTATCACCAATCAAATTATTATACCAATGAATCAAATCAATTATTATCATCTTCGTGATTCAACAATAGCGGTATTCTTCCTCCAATGTCTTTTCTCCCATCCGTTTTACTACTTGTTTTTCCTATCCTGTCTTTCAAATATTCTCACAACACCTCAATCTATTCCCCATCATTTTGTCTGCTATTGATTCCACTTAAATACATATATATATATATATATATATATATCTTACTCAGTAGTCACTCCAATGCAAATCACCCATCTCAAAGTTTTCATTGCAGCCCCTTTATCTCTCATCTATATTACTGAATTTGGCCACACTCACATTCGCCTCATTACAGTGAAATGCAGTGTTTTAAGTTTAATAATTTATTGTGTGGTGTTACTTAAGTTAAGCAGTGTTATTATTATTATGAGCAGTTTTAGTATCATTTTCCCTTGATTTTGGTCATTTGGTGTTTTATTTATATATATTTCTTTGAAAACAGTTTTTTTATCAATAACTTTTTTAGTAGGCAATTAGTTGATTCGGTTTCATTCAAAGATAATATTGACCTATTGACATGCGTTTAATAAAATATTAGTAAAAAATACAAATTATTATGAGCCATTATTTATTGTTGTCTGGGATTCTAAATCTGCGTATTAACTATTATTTGTAATTTATTCATCAATAATCTTTTTAGCAATTAGTTGATTCGGTTTCATTCGATGATAATATTGACCTATTGACATGTATTGTGTCTGTATTTCTAGATCATTAACACCATCAAATCAATTAATTAAGGAGTGTTTTTTTTCCTGAACCGAAATCTGTTTTAGATTTTTTTTCTAGCACGATTAGTTTTTTCTTAAATCGCCTACAAATTAGCACAAAAACAACTTTTTATGGTATTTTTGGCGATAAGATAAAACATTAATATTTTAATTAACTAAATTAAGATATTCTGCGAGCATATTTTTAGTTTTTAGTAGAATTTCATAAATGAAAATAAAAGTATTTAAGTTTGTCCAAATTAAATTCTAACATAATAATATTATGTAGCCAATTTTTAATTCTATTCAACCAACCAAGCGTAGCATAATTATAGAAGTCATCAATACTATTGTCTTTAACTAATCAAATTGTGTCAACGGCATAAGATACAATTTTACTATCTATTTTTATATTAACAATGTTGTCTTGTAGATTTCTATGTTTTGTTACTTAAGTATATTACTGAATACACAATTAATTAGAACAACTTGTGTTCTAACACTAAGGTACACTAAGCAAATAGTTCTAGGGCTTTTCTTCTAATAACTTATACCAGTACCTCAATACTCTAACTTATGTATTAAGACTTTATAATCTACCGAATCAAAAGTTTTTTTTTAAATATTAAGAAAAAACACCAGTTGAAATTGAACGATTATTATAAAAACCATTTCTAGTGGTTTCGAACTTTTGATATAAATTATTTATACATATAAATACAATACCTATATTATATTATTAATATGTTATTTGTTCTTGACCATCAACTAATATTTCATTGTCACATCTTTGCGGGCCTTGTAAAACAACACAAACTCATTGTAGTAGTTAAATACATAATTGCTGATCTGACTAAAATGATTCGTATAGTTATTATAGGATCATGTATTATAATTTTATACACTAAGAGCGTTTAAAAATTTTTTTTTTTAGCAGATAGTACAATAAGTCATATTGTTTTATTTTTAGAAGCGTCCAAAAAAATAATACAATTTGTCTAACGCGGTTTCAAAATATTTATAACTATATCATAGAGGTATTCAAGTTGGTTCGATATATCTTAAGATAAACGTTATAAAAAAGCCAAAAATCGAAATTTGATCGGATATAAATAGGGCAGAGGACTTCTAGCATTTTCATATATGTTTTGCGCAGCTGTATAAAAAGGCCAACCATAAAAAAATTTGTTTTAGGTTATGACAAAGCCAAATCAGTAATTTTATGTTGCATATTTAGGTCTTTTTTGAGACATTTTTAAGATGTATATGATTTTAAGGGGGATTTTTTTGAACATTTACTTTAAAAATAATTAATCAAAACAATAATCAGTAAAAAAATTCTAAGATATTGGAAATTTTTTTTAGAGAAAAGAATGATCAAATTATTAAAATAAAAAATCAATTATTCAATATACCTATCTTTAATAAACTATACATTAATTACAGTATAATTAAGTCAATAAATAGTAAAAGTTTCATTAAGCCAAAGTTTTTATTCATTTATTGGTCGTGAACTCATAGTATAGCATATAAATATAGTTTAATTTAGTCAGTAATTGTATTTTTATTTTTAAATGTTTTAATTAAAGTAATTAATTTGTTATATTAAATCACAAAAAAAATTTTAAAGCATATAAATAGTGCATATTTTAGGGTTTTTAAGTGCATAAGTGCTTGCATATTTAGTGTTTTTTTAGAGCTACAAGTCCTCTGCCCTAGGTATAAATTAAAAAAAAAGAATTCCAATGCATGTTGCCTTTTGTGCATTGTAATTTGTACAATATCGAAATGCAATTTACAACTCCTAGTAATAGTCAAGTCTCCGATACCAAACTTTTACCATATGTTTTATATACATATAATTAAGTACTGTACAAATTTCAGAATTTTTAGCATAAGCCCTAAAAAGTTATAGGCTCCTAAATATTGCACTTTTTAGTAAAATGCTAACTTTTAAAGTTACTTATACATCATAAAAAAAAATTGTTAAAAAAAAATTATGAATCAAAAGAGTTGTATTAGAATAAAAAGAAATTTTAACTTTGATGAGTAAAATTCAATGAAATTTATAAAACTTTCAATTTTTTTAATGATATAATGAAAAATAACAGTTAAATTCAAATTTTTCAGTGAAAATTGCATTTTGATATCATAATTATTGATTAAGTAACGTGGTCGTGAACTTAAGGAGTTTTTACAATAAATTTACAGAATATAGCATCGCCTAAGTCCAACCATTTTTTTAAAACATTTTTTCTTCGCTTTCTCGATTTCGTGGAACTATTTGCATAGGATATTTAAGTTTGAGGCATTTAGAAAATCCACTCGCACACACATCAGGTTATATGGCATGGAATGACCCTATAATATTCTAAGCATGTTTTCTTCGTTACTCTAACAAAATATTGGTGTGTATTTTCAATAAATATGTGTCTGATGAATTTAAATAAATTATTACAATAATTAATACTATTGGTTTAAGAACGGTTATCTATAGGACTAATAATACTATAAACACTCACCTGGGCGGCGACCAAAGCTGTTAATACGATTTGAACAAACCTAGACATGATTATGGCTGGAGAAAAATGTATACTGTTGCCAAATCTACATTCATAATCGTTTATAAACGATAATGTCTACGTTACTATGACCTTGTACCTTGTTACCTCACAATATATATTTATAATTATATACCGATTTATCGTAAGAGACTGTTTTTTTTTTTTAGTAAAATTATTACAATATTTTAGTGTTTTTTTTTTGAAACCGCGTTTAGATAACTACTGTGCTGAAAGATTTTACAAAAATAATTTATAAAAATAGTACGGGTAACGGTGGGGTACCCCAGACGACACATCAATAATTTGTGAAGTAAATTTACCAAGAAAGAATGTAAACCCCATAAAAGCATTGGATTACCTACATCTAAACAACTCAATTGTTTCATCAAAATAGAATGATCGATTCTACAAAAGCCTTCTTAATGGTTTTTTATAGTTTCTATTTTGGGATCATCTAAGTATAATTAGTAAGTAGATTGATATTAAAATGTTTAGTAAACTTTATGTTATATGAGGTAATAACAATAGTTATATACTATTAATACAATTTAATTATTATTCAAACAAATCGGTTGTACTACAGTTATGAACTGGGTCGATTCTCGGGGGCTTATAAATTGTAATTTCGAAATTACCTTCTATCTTTCAATTTTAAACCGCCGGATCCTTTGCAGAGGAAGCTTATTTGTCCATTTGGGAAGAAAGGCTAGACGTTCGAGTTAGGCGACACGGTGTTTAAGATGGTTGTCGAATTTATTACATGTCAGTTTGTGTAATTAACAATAATTAATTAAAAGTTTAAATAATAAAAACAAATTTCAGTGTCCAGACACAAAAAAATGATTTAATTTAGTCATTTAATTTTATTACAATAAAATCAATTTAACATTTTTAAGTTTAGGTACATTCAATTTGTATTTCTATTGTTACAGAGATATTTGATGTTGTTATATAATTAAGATGTCCACATTACATTTACTGAGCACCCAATCACCTAGATAAAAACATTAAACAATATAATTAATGCTACTCTACACCAACTTATTAATAAGCCGAAAAATTGTCTGTAAAATTTTCTTTCAATATTGGTAGTATTTTTTTTTTATTGAAAGTAAATACAACAGTTTATATAATATAATATTTTAATTACATGTTATTATTTCTTTAAATGTTATCCGAATAATGTCCAAAAGGATTTATGAAATTGATAACACTAACATTTTATATAATATGACTGCTATAAGTAAACCATTAAGCGAATTTCAGATTTTGTGACGTGGAATTTTTTCTGACCACAAACATTTTTTGTTATTTTTTTTATTATTATTAATTTTTATAGTCTGTGACTACACCGACCCAATTGTACTGGTTTTTTTTTTGCATCCAGTGTTTTATTAAAAATCCGACCATAGGTATCTTTTGTTTAAATCCCTAATATTTTGACTAATAGTCTTCACTATCATACCTATTATGTACCCAATGTTGTAAATATATTTTAATTGTACTTTTATTTTATTATGTTGGTCCCTTTGGCTTATTATAACTTGACTTATTTTCAGAAAACCTACCGGAAACTGACGGTATGTTTAGGTTTACAAAATAATATCTAATAATTTACATAATATGTATATTTTCATAATTTCTTAAATTAATTTAATTTAAGTATATTTGAAACTTTATTTATTTTCAGTAATCGCACCAGCACACGGCGGTATGTTTATGTTTACAAAAATAAAATTGTTGATTTTCCTAGAAAATTAGTGTTGTACGTTTAATTTGTCACCCTGTATATAAATATTGTGTACTCACGGTTTACGAAAATAAATTTTCAGGAGAGAAGTTTGGATATGTGTTAATAAACATAGAAAAGGATCTAGATCCAAACCTGGGCTTTAAAAACTGCAACCGTGTGTTCAACAAAGAGACAATTGCAGGAGGTTTTTTTGGAAATCGAGATGTAGTAATTAAACATAGTACAGATGCACTGGTGATCAATGACATAACAATTCCGGGAATTAATTGAAATGAGGAAATAATAGTTAAGTATCATGTTGAAGGAGGGATTATAGTGAACGGTCAACGAATAGAAGGATTTGAAGGTTTAAAAGGAGTGGGACAAAATGTTTTGAGATTGCCAGGTAATTAATAACTAACCCTATATATATATGCCTGTAAAAATTTAAGCATCAATAAAAAAAGTATTTTTTACAAATTGTTTTTCTTTACATTGTTGGATTTGTAAAAGTTCAATAAATATTCATATGATAACTGTATTAAGAAGTTTTAAGAATTGTAGTAAGGTAGTAGTTGGTAATTTAAGACCCGTTTTATAAATAGTTGAAAAGTTATTCTCATTTAAAAAAATATAATTCATTTTTACACATTTTAGGCCAAGGCTATCCAGTAGGTGTTTTTGAAAGTCTGGGTGTATCTGTAGAGAGAAATAGCAATGGGACTCATGATCAGCGGTAGAAAAGTTCCAAAATTTGCTAATCACGAGAACGTTGTGATCGATTTCCGTTTAAATGGAGATATCGTGGTCAATGGTAAAAAACTAGAAGGATTTGATGATATAAGACCACCGGGAAGTACTAGTGCAGTAGAATAACAGGTGATTAAATATATTTTTTCATTTAAAGTTGTTGAAATAAATGTTAAGTGATTAGCTGTAAGTATTCAGTAAAATTTTTATCTGCCGATTTAAACGTATTTTAGTTACTTGTTTTATAAATCAATTTATTTAAAGAATATATAAGTATGTCCAACACAAATAACACACTAATACCTACTTAAATTTTAAATTTTAACACTAAATCCGCTCAAACCTAGATCAAAGTCAAGAGAATTTTGTCTGCAATCAGAATATCCGGTAAAATTGCCCATTTGTGTGATTTAAATTGTCAAAATTTTGAAAAAACCAAAATTTCGACCTAGCTCAAAAATTTCAAAAAGCTGAATTTTTTTCTCCAAAAATACCACACCAATAGGGCTGTACTGTGGCTTAAAAGATTCATAAATGTCTCAGGTCGCCTTTTAACCCGTACATAAGTGTTAATGGTACAAATATTTTTTTACATAGCAAGAATACACTAGGTTTACCCATGGTATGTTCAACACCAATAACACACTAATACCTACGTCCGTTCAACGCGCGCGTGTATCGTCGTACGTAAAAGAAAAAAAAAGGAATATTTACTGAGGTGTACGTTCGGTTGCCTATCTGTAATCATTCCAGGAGTCATCCGATTATTTATTGTGATTGACGTCAATTTTTTTTGTGTGTGTATTTATTCACACTGGTCCTTCGGCTCATTTTTTTTTAGTTAAGTTTTTTTTTTTGGTGTGATATCAGCCACACGTCATACTATGCATACTTGTATACTTTTAAACTAACATGATTATGGAATCGTTTTTAGAATTGTATTTTACTATACCAGTGTGTGTGTTCTGCGGGTTCTTTGCTCGAGGAAAAAGTGGACGGCTTGCTTAATAGAGCTTTGACAGCAGGTGACAAATAATTTTTTAGTAATTTATTTAGGTACGAAAAGAATTTCACTATTTAATTTCATTATATTTTAATATGATTTATCTCAGGTGTTACAATGTTTGAAGTTATCACTTCGTATTTCATAGTGCACACATTGGCATGCAGTGTTCTGGCCGTTTTTTTAATGTTTCTTTCGTTCTACATTCTACAATATCCGTTGGTAACTACAAACGTCATTTTTGATTTATTCGTTGGCCTGACACTAGGAGCTTGGCTTGGATTCTTTTATGGTAATAATTAAATTATGACAAATTATTGTGTAATTACTGTAAGAACACTTCACTGGAGAATATAAGGAAGATAAACTTAAGCTTTTAACATTTGATATGATATTATTGAAAATTAATAAAATATATATATATATATATATACGACCTACTTTATTCCCTGTCATTGTTTTGTTTTATAACATATAGGTGTGTTCGTTGCTGCCATAGCGAAAAACGGCATAGAAGCTATGCAGTTGACACTTGCAATGGGGACAACACAGCTGTTTGTGGGTGGTATAACAATATATTTTTTTTAACTATTAATTTCAATTGTACATCATACTTTCAATACTTGTGTATTTTTAGGACTCAACTGGCCAGTTTAAGCCCAAAGCGAAGTTTTGCAAAGAATTACTGAAAACCTACCCGTGAGTTTAGTAGGGACAATAGTTTCATGGTAATTCTGAAAGGCTGGTCTTTAACTAATCCGACAAACATGAGCGATCTCATAAAAATCGTGGCAACTTTTTTGTTAATAGCATTGTCGTTCTTGGGTTTAAAGCTTTTTAAAAAAAATCCATGGATTCATAAATGAACTTATGTTAAAAATTGTATTATTTAAATGTAATTAAGCGAAGAAACTCGATTATTGTTACATGCCATCTCAGTTTATTATTTATTTTAAGTTTATGAGTTACCAGCACCTCAATTTAATACTTTCTAACTTTGCTGGGTTGACTGTACTGGCTTGAAAATACTACGTACTACTAAAAATACTAACTACTGATTGCATCGAAGCGTAAGTATTTATGTATCTTTATTTGTCTCTTTTTTGTACGTTTGTAATCGTTAAAGGGCTGTTTGCCCGTTAAAAAATACAATAACTAAAATAATATTATTAAATTAATATTATCAATTAAAACATATTATTAATAAGTATTTAAAAGTATAAAGAAAGAACCAATACCTTTCTAAATAGTTAAATTGTATTATTTATGTAACATCACAATGTAAGCCAATAATATATATCTATCAATCTTGATTTTTTTACCTTGTCTCAGAAAATGTTTAAGTTAAGAGCGTAATGTACTTAAAAAATCAACAAATGTATTATTTATTCAATTTATTTGTTTATTTTAGTGATTACCTATTTATGTATTATTTTGTTTTTATCTTTTTTTTTTTGTACCGTATGTAATCTTAAAGAAGCTGATTGCACGTTAAAACATACAATAACTAAAATAACATTACCAATTAAAAGGTATTATTAATCAAAGTGTTGAAAAAACCAATACTTGTCTAAATAGTTAAATTTGTTTAACATCACAATGTAAGAATAGACA